TCTTTTTGAAGCAGGGTCTCCCTGTAGCCCCAGCTGTCCTGGAACTCACTATGTAGACCAGGAGGGCCTTGAACTCACAGAGATCCGCCTGCCTCTGCCTCCCAAGTGCTGGGACTACAGGTGTGCACCACCACACCCGGCTTAATCCTAACTTTTATAGACGAAGACTTTGCACTTAGAGAACATAAATAATTGCCCCAAATCAGGTAGTTGTTAGTAGGTCCCACCTTGAGCACAGGACCTTTGGGAGATGAACAGTGGTGTGTAGTAGTGGTCCAAGTGTAGTAAGCAGTTTGATGCACTTAGGGTTTCAGTGAAACAGTACAGAAGGGTGTGCTCTAAATGTGGAGGAGAAGCTGCTGAATGAGTCTGTCTTGGGTTTGGCATCGTCCTAATCCTTTGTCCTTTCTCTTTAGATTTCAGGCTTGCGCCAATACAGAAAAGTCTATTCCAAAACTGTGGAGCTGTGTCAGAGACGCAAGTAGAAACACCATACGAGGATTTCTATGAACAGGTTTATGTGAAGCCACAGTTTACTAGATTGACACCGGATTCCACCTTCTGAATGCAGTCAGAGAGAACTTTATTTTCTTTTTTGAGCAGGGGCCTTTCAAGCCCTGTATTTATCAGTTAAAGCCAAGAGACTGCTTACTCTGATCACAGTAACTTATGCATACATTCTTTCTCCAAATTTAGCCCAGTTAAGACTGAAGAAGTGCTACCATGGACAGTGGATAGTTCTTCCTGGCACTCTGAGAAACTGTAACTGTCTAGCAGTCACAATTAAAGATAATTTATTTAGGTCTTTGACACATTCTTTAGTCGATTTTGGTATAGGATGAATGACAAGGGGTGAAGAACCAGCTGGGTGGAGGTGTGAAGGATTCTTTCCGAGACCATGCTGTTTTTGTGACTAGTACCCCTGTACTCAGGAAGGACAACACTTCTAGCTTTTCTTGCTTTGTGTTCAAAATTGCTTTGGCCATTTGCAGCTTTTCATAGTTCTAAAAAAAGTTTGTAATTTTCTAATTCTCTAAAGAAGGTTCTTTCAGATCCTTGGTTAAATTTATTCCAAGGTATTTTATTTATTTTGTAGCTATCATAAAAATTTCATTTGCAGATAGATAATTATTTATTATTGGTAGAATAAAGCTCAGCCTCCATACAATGCTTCCTGGCTTGACCTGTCTGGACCAAAGGAAGAAAATAACATCCCAGCCCACTGCAACTGAGTGAACCACAAACAAAAAGCCTGAGAACAAAGCAAGACATCAATACCCTCTGTCCTCAGCAAGGAGGAACAAATGACTGTACTTAACATAAAGGGACAGACAGGTCCAAATATAGTCATTCATAGTAGCCCATCAACAGATTATCCTGCTCCCTTCCCCAAATGGATAGAGAAACGTTACAGTTAAAGTGCACCATCGATCATATAGACCTGACAAATACAACATACTCCAACACCAACAGAATACAGAATATTCTCAGCAGCCCATGGAACTTTCTTTAAAACAGATCACATTTCACAGCATAAAGCAAGTATTGCTTTAAAAATATTAGCCACCCCACCCTCCATGCCACCACAGGGTCAGTGTGGCCCCTGTGACCCCTGACCACCAGGTAGATACCTCTAAAGCTCCTCAAGCCTTGACAGTGACCCCTCCTTCTGTGCCACCGCTGGGTCCTTGTGGTGCCCCTAGTCTCTGACCACCATGCAGGCACACCCAGAGCCCCTCTGAGTGTGGCCAGCAACCCTCCTTCCATGCCACTAGGACCATGTGGCTCCCACAACTCTTGCCCCCAGGTAGGCACTCCCAGAGCCATTCCCCTGCCAGCTACCAGCTATGTCCTTCTAGAGCCTATCCCCCAACCCCAAACAACCTACCCACGATGCCACCAGGGGACTGTGAAGCATCCTGCAACCATGACCCCACATCGAGACCTCCAACTTGGTCTCCACCCCACCCACCTCCACCCGAGGTCAAGGTATGTCCTTCATGGGCTGCCCACCTTGATGCAACATGACTCACTTCCTCTGTGACCCCACCCCTGCCATCTAAGGACCACCTGTAGAACTGTATGACCCTCCAGACTTCTAAAGATTGACATTGAGAATCTTGTAAAGTTTGCTTCTTGGCTCAGAAGTGTACATATCCTGAGTTGTACTGGGAACATGTCTGGCACATCAACACAGAATTGACCCAAGACTGAACACCATCTGATAAGCATATTCAGAAAAGTAGGTTGCAAAATGAACACACAAAAATCAGTAGCCTTCTTATATATGAACAACAAACATACTGAGCAAGAAATCAAGGAAACAATCCCATTCATTTTTCAGAAAATTTATTTTCATTTTATGTATGTGAGTGTATTGTCTGCACGTGTATAAGTGCATCCACGTCGTGAATGGCTGTGGAGGTCAGAAGTGGGTGTCAGATCCCCTGGAACTGGAGTTATAGACAGTCGTTAGCTGTCATGTGGGTTCTGGGAACTGAAGAGCAGCCCATGCTCCTAAGCCCTGAGCCATCTCTCTAACCCCTGAGCCGTCTCTCTAACCCCTGAGCCATCTCTCTAACCCCTGAGCCGTCTCTCTAACCCCTGAGCCATCTCTCTAACCCCTGAGCCGTCTCTCTAACCCCAACAACCTCATTCATGATAGCCTAAAAAAAATCTTGGAGCAGGGCATGATGCACGCCTTTAATCCAAGCACTTGGGAAGCAGAGGCAGGCAGATCGTTATGAGATCAAGGCCAGCCTGGTCTACATAGTGGGTTCTAGGCCAGCCCTGGCTGTAGGGAGAACCTGTCTCAAAAAGACAAAACAAAACAAAACAAAAACCTTGGAATAAATCTAACCAAGGAAGTAAATGCTTATTTTAAGACACTGAAGAAACTGAAGATACCAAAAAATGAAAACACTAGCCACCGGGGAAATGAAAAGTAAAACTATTGAGATTTCTATCTTACCCAAGTGAGTAAAATGGCTTAAAAAAAAAAAAAAAAGGATGACAAATGCTGGTTAAGGAAGTGGGGAAAGTGGAACACTTATTCACTGCTGGTGGGAGTGTAAACTGGTGCAACCTCATTCCTCAAAAAGATAGAAGAAGACTTACAACATGACCTAGCTACACCACTCTTGGGCAAATTACCCAAAGGACTGAATATTCTACAGAAATACTTGTTCATCCATGTTCATTGCTACTCTAGTCACAATAGCCAGGAAACAGAAAGAACCTAGAAGAGCATCACCTGATGAATGGATAACGAAAATACAATACTTTTACACAATGGAGTATTATTCAGCTGTGAAGAAAGACAAAATTATAAGTGGATGAAGTTGGAAACAATCATCCTGAGTGAGGTAATCCAGACCTGGGAAGACAAACATAGCATATTCTCATATATGGATGCTAACTTTAGATCTTTAAATATGTTTGTGTAAAACCCACAAAGGTCAGTAAACTAGTAAGAGGCCATGGGGGGTGGGGCTTCACAGGAGGGGAGATAGAATGTAGTGATTTATAAAGGGGGGAAAAGGGGAATGAAACAGAAGAATTAAGTTGGGTGGGTGTGGAATAGGAGGGCAGAGTAGAGGAGGGAGTCTGGGGAGGGATAACTAACACTAAAGGCCTTTTGAAAAGCTTACATGGAAACCTACTTCTGTAGAAACTTCCTAAAATATATACAAATACATATTAAAATTTCAAATAGAATTATCCTATAATTGGAGGATGATGTGCCTATCAGATACCACAGGCTAGCAAAAGAAGAGCCCAATGCCAGGAATGGGCGCCGTCTTTTGAAGTTGTTGGCCCAGGGGGACCTACTGACCCTCAAAGAATACCATTATTACCACTGCTCTTGGCTACTGCCCCAAACTTGATTGTCAGACCCTTTTGCCAAAGACACTACAAACCTGAGCAGTAGAACATGGAGAAACCAAGGTAGAGCTGACCTCACAGGTTTATCCCTACTGGGTAGCTTTCATGGTGCTAGAAGTTGCTATGGAAGCTACTGGCAGAGACAGGTAATCACCAGTCTTCCCAGCTGCAAGCCCTGTGAGTCTCCCTAACAGCTGGCCTGGCAAAATATGACCATTAGTGCAATAGTGGCATGCATGCTATGGAGTAACCACTTTCTGACTGGATATAAGGCCTGCTTCACAAGATGAAAACATACCTACTACCATTCTTGGGGTTAAGAACCTGTGGCCAGTCAGGTCACAGGCCTAAGGGGAGAACCCACTACTAGTCTGCTAAATGGACCTCCTGATGCATCTTATAGTCTAAGAACAAGGACGTACCAAACCTATAATCAGCGAATGGAAGGAAATTATGACAATAATCAAATATATTAATAAAGTGGAATCAACAGAATACAAAGGATGAATGAAAAGGCGTCTTCTAAAAACACTGACAAACCCTTAGGCAGATTAATGAAAAGAGATGGAGCACCCAAATTAACAAGAGGAAAGGAGATATGGATTACAGTGAAATTAGGACATATTTTGAAAACTTATATTCCAAAAAACTGAAAAACCTATAAGAAATTGATACATTTCTACATATAGATGACCTACCAAAATTACACAATGACACAGAGAAACCTAAACAAATGAATAATGAGCGATGGGAATGAGGCAGCAGCAAAGTCTCCCAACCAAAGAGCCATTTCCTGAGCTCTGCCAGAGCTATTCTACCAGTTTCCACGGCAGGAAAACATCACAGTAGAGGATTAACACAAAACACACACATCATCTCACTTCAAACACACTTTTCAAATGATGCAAAAATGGCCAATAAATCGTTTCGCAGCAATTTCCTTCTAGGCAAAATCTTCTATCTTGGAGCGAAGCTCAGTAAATATTCTAAAGGGAGGCAAACTACAGGATATTCTAAAAGGAAATAAAAACTCAATAGCTTTAGGAAGTTCCTGAAATTCAGGTTCACTTGCCACCCCCACCCCACCCCCCAATCCCCAGGCATATGTAAGCCCTAAGGACTGCTGAGAGACACTCTCAGACAAGCTGGGCTGCCTAGAAGCAGCTCAGACCAACTGAGCCACCTAGAAGAAGCAGAAATCAGCTGAGCTGCCTGGAAAGACACCCTCCAACCTGGTGACTTGCCTGTACATTGTGCACTGCACTCCAGATTTCCAGCTTTCTTGAGCTGCCAGGCACGCTCGGGGGAGTGAGGGGCTTTTGGCGATGCAGCTATCTTGAGTCATTTCTGCTCCTGCAAGTAATCCTTCACCCATATTCCATAAGTAATCCCAATAAAACTCATCAGTTCACAAAGTTGAACTTTGGTGATATCCTTACTTTGGTCCCCTATCTGGGATAAGTAACATTTGTTCATTTCCTCAAGAATACTGTCACACAACAAATATTCAAGAGAGTGTTCAACATACTTAGCTGTTAGGGAAAGGCAGATTCAGAATTGTTATCATATCCATCTGTGCTGGATAGTTGTCAACTTGACACACCTGGCTAGAGGGAGCCTAAACTGGGGAATTGCCTTCATTGAACTGGCCTTTGGCCATGTATGTAGGGGCATTTTTTTTAATCTTTGAGTGATATGGGAGGGTCCAGCCCACTGTGGGCAGTGCCACCCCTAGGCAAGTTGTTCTAATTGTATAAGAAAGCAGGCTGAGCACGGGCCAGGGGAACAAGCCAATAAGCAGTGTTCCTCCATGGCCTGTGCTTCAGCTCCTGTCTCTAGGTTCCTGCCCTGAGTTCCTACCTTGCTTGGTCTCTCTCAGTAATGAACTGTAACCAGGGAGATATGAGCCAAATAAATAAACCCTTTCCTCTCCAAGTTGGTATTGGTCAGAGTGTTTTGTCACAGCAATTGAAACACCATCCACCCATCCATCCACCCACCTACTCACCTACCCATCCAATCATCTATATAACTGCTAATGATGTGGTAGAGATGTTAGTTCAACAAATATGGAAATCAACATGGAAATTCCTCAATACACTACAAAGCAAACTACCACAGAATCCAGCTATACTGTAAGGGACCAAATCCTAATAAGCAAACAGAGTCTCTGAGAAGTAGTCAAGACGGTACACTTCTGGCTGTTACTTGGTCTCTGGTAGGAAGGCCCGATTTTTTTAATTCCAATAGGGCCCCTTCAACTGACATGCTTAGAATCATTTAACCCTGGCTATCTCAACTTGAAGATGTGACCCACCAAACTTCTCTTAAGTTGACCAATCCAAAATTAGGAGAGGAGAAACCACTAACACCCTTAAAATTCAGTCTCCCTGGGAGGTGTTGGGTTCTTGGTTTCCAGGTCCCCCTCCATTTGTGGACAGCATCATCTTTCTGTATCAGTGTGTGTTATGTGAGTTTTTATGTGTGTGATATGATTCCTTACCTTTCAATTGAAGTTTGTTTTCTTCTTGTTCTCTGGTGGTCTGAGAGGTTGCACAGTGAGGCAAGATAAAGTAATGTAAAGATCTGGGAAGCCCACCTGAGACCTCACAACTAGCCTGACAAGTATACCTCTCACCACTCATCAAAGAAGCTTCTTGCTGCAGTAGATGAAAACAATTACAGAGTTCCACAACTGTTCAAATACAGAGAGTAAGTGTGAGAGTCCCAACCCTAAGTGATACATCTACAATGGAAGCTCTACACCTAAGACTCAGGAAACATAGTGGAACAGGGGGAAGAGAAAATATTAATGCATCTCTCAACTCTCAAGGGCGAAGCTTCCTCATGCAACAGATGGTGCTTAACACAAAAGGCCTAAAGTGGCCAAAATGTAGAGAACAAGAGACTACAGAGTGTGTGCATGTTCCTTGATAGGACTCCTATGTTAAATCTCTGCCACCCAGGGACCACTGCAGAAGAGGGGGTGGAAAGACTGAAAGAGCCAGAGGTAGTGGATGACCACAAGGAAACAGGTTATCAGGAGGCTGGGAGCTTGCTCAAATGAACCTACAGCAATGGTGACAGCATGCACAAGACCCACGCAAACCCAAATCATACAAAAACCCAGCACAGAAGTGGGGAAATAGGTACGAAGCCCCAACTTTAGCTGAGACATCATTGGCCACTGATCACTAGCTGGATGAGGGAATGTTGGTCTTCTTTAAAGGAGTGATGCTATTTAGGTTGACCAGGCTCCAGTGGATGGACTCACATCTAAGAACATTTGGGGACACAAACTTGATGTAATAGGCCTTAACATACATGACAGAATGCACGAAATCTGGTGTGTGTGGGGGCTACTGAGGGGTGCAGATAGGGAAGAGGATCTAAATATGATCAAGATGTATTGTATGGCCTGGCGTAATGTTGCATGCCTTTAATTCCAGCACTTGGGAGGCAGAGGTAGGTGGATCTCTGTGAGTTCGAGGCCAGCCTGGTCTACATAGTGAGTTCCAGGCCAGCTGGGGTTACACAGGAAGACCTTGTCCCCCAACCAAAAAAAAAACATCAACCCCCCCCAAAGAAAAGATGTATTATATGAAATACACAATAAATCAAAAAAATTTTTTTTAAAGATCTGAGAAGAAAAATATTGGAAATTATTCATAGGTGATAAGACTATGTATGTCCACAATCTAAAAGGACCCATATAAATTTCTAGAAACAAAAGGCTTTACCTAGGATACTAGATAAAATGTCAATGTATAATATGCAACTTTAATTCCAAATACTAATAATTACAAAAAAAAGGACTGAAAAAAATGCCTTTTACAAAAACCTAAAAGTGCCCAGGAATAATTGTAATAAAAGCATGCAAGATCTTAAAAGATCTTTACAAAGAAAATTGTAACAACTCGATGACTTCATAGAAGGTCTAGGAATAAAAAAAGACCTTGAAGTAAAAATTGAGCCATCACTGGAAACAGTCACAAAATGTTACAAACAGTAGAACTTTAGTTGAGACTGAAAGATAAACACAGTAATGGGAAGACGATGGCAAAGGTTGTGCAGCAGTGATGAGGTGTGTTAAGACGCCAGCACGAACATGGCGTGGCAATTCACCAAGAGAAAACTCCCAAAAATGTGTTCAGTCTCCCTAGTTATGAGTTACAAACTGAGACATGAAGCCATTTTTTATCTAGTAGAATAAAAATTTTAGTTTGAAAAAAATAAAGGAGCTGGACACAGAAGTACGCCCTTAGTCCCAGCACTCAGCAGGCAGAAGCAGGTGGATCTCTGTGAGATCAAACACAGTCTGGTCTACAAAGTGAGTTCCAGGGCAGTTGGGGCTACAGGGAGACCCTGTCTCAAAAAGACCAAAAAACCCCAAACCAAACCAAACCAAAAAACCAAGAAGGCAAAAAAAGAAAAAAACCCTGGTTGAGAACTGCTGCTTTTGAATAATATATTATTAAAATACATTGTAACATTCTGCTGTACAAAAAAAACCACATGCCCTTTAAGAGCAAAGGGAGGGAGGGATTTTTTTTTTTTTTTTCTATTCCAGGGGATAATTTCCATTACATGAGGTCTTCATCTTACCACTTCTGAATCCAATCTTTGTGAAAGCTTTGACTCTACTGTATACAAAATTCATTTTGCCAGAAGCTATACAGAGGGACACCAAATCCTCAAGAGGTACAGATTTGAGTATTTAAAACAATGGAAGAGATGAAAATTTAGAATTTTGGGATCTTTCTGTCATATTCCAGAACAACTTACTTTTTTTAGATTTGAGAAATGTCAACTAGATCACTTTAAGCCAAAGACAAAGAACATGATTCCTCTGCCTTTCTGACAAAGGTAATTAAGTACTAGACACCCAGACTGAACTACAGAGAGCTAGCTGGCCAGTGGTCACACTGCAGCACCCGCAGCAGTGGGCTGACAATTCCTTAGCACTAACTAGCCCTGTGCCGATCACACAGAACACTCAAGTATCTCAATAAAATGGATGAGTCTTAGCATATACTTTATAGTTATTTATTCAAAACATTTTATAACATATTCAGGTAACAGTGTAACCAAGGAATATACTTAGTAGTACTAAACAAATCTACATAAAATACGTAACTCCATTAAGAATTTGAATTCCATTAAGCTCTTGAAATACTTGAAATGGCACTTTTCTATTTCAAACCAGTGCCCTGGCCCTCTCCTTACAAGATTAGTCCATTCTAAACTCTAAGATGTCCAAAGTTCTTCCTGTTTGCTTTTATTTCCTTTGCCATATTTCATTTATAACCAGTTTTGAAGTGCATAATCATCTCACATTTTAGGTATACACTATGATGACCTCAGATTTAGGACCTGATTAGGGGCCACCTTGAGGAGGTATGACAGCACAGATGGATGGAGGGCTAATGCCACCCTTACTCTGGACAAAAGTCAAGCAGGCCAATTTATTTCTGTTTCTAGCAGTTTCTCTAATTGCTTTTCACTGATTTGTGAGCAACTAGCCATTCTTTTCATCTACAATCTCTTCAATAGAAGAGAGGGATCATGTTATACTTGGACCTGCCACTGCTTCTAGCTTTGAACCATTGGCCTCACTTTTCCAGCCTTCACTTCCTCTGACTCTGTACTGGGACATCATTACTAATCTTGGAAGGTTCTTCTACAAGGCTAAAGGAGGCTGAAATCCATGACAGGCACTCAGCATGAAAGAACTATTTGGTTAATTCCTATAAGTCTAACCACTTCTTTGGCTCCTGGTGCCATTTTTCCAACAGTGTTCCAGCTTGTCAAGTATTTTCTAATCTTAAATATTTCAGGTTTCAATTAGCTGCTTCTAGGTTTAGATGCAAATTTGGTACTTTTAAAGCCACTGATAAGAATATCTACAGATTCGTTTAGCTAGGCCATCATTAGCCGATTTGTTACACTTTAGGTGTGCACTATGACAGTCAACATGACATTGTCAACACTTTCTTAAAGACAGTCTAAATTCATACATTCTGATTTACTCTAGTAATAAAATTGCTGAGCCATCTTCTCCAGTCCTGAAAACAAACTTTTGAAAAAACCCAATGAACAGGTTTAAGAGAAGATGAAAGAATGTTAACTGAATTCATAAACTAAGAAACAATATGTGAGGAAAAAATAAAGCAACCAGAAATCTAAAAGGGCTTAGGCGACAAAGAGAATAGAATGAACAGGGCCAATGCTCATTAAAAACCAGTAACTGCACTAGCTGGGTCTTTGAAAGTTGTTTCTCCTAACACCTTCATTATATGGTAACTCTGCCTGAACTTGCTACTGAAAGTTAAAATACATCTTAAAATACAGATTCAGAATCCCTTATTCAAAAATGCTTGGGACCCAAGATATGCTTCAGATTTGGGGCATTTTCAGAGTTTGAATATTTATGTAGACTACCAGGCTAAGCATCCCTAACCTGAAATATGAAATGTGCCCAGTATGACAGAAAGTGTAGCTATCAGAACATTTTATATTTTGGATTTGGATTAAGGATGCTCAATCTGTATTATGTTGTTTTCAAGATGCTTTCTTTTTTTAAAAATTTATAACTCTCGTCTTGAACACACAGGCCCTCATACATGTTGGGCAAGTGTGCCACACTGAGCCATACCCCCAACCCAGCATTCATTTTAATGTAGGTTTCTCATGATATATACAGAATTTTAAGTTTTCCTTTCTTGTAATATTAATTCATCACATATATTTGCATGTGTATACACATTATCTAGAAAACATGTTTTCATTACTAAAAGCAGCTCAAAGCAGAGAACACTTGTTTGCTCTAACGCATACCGAAGGCAGAACTGTCCCTCTCTGGTTCCACTGCTCTCAGCTTAGGCACATACTGTAGTCTTACTGAAAACAAGTATGACAGCTAACGTACAAGCCCAGGATCCTACTGAAAACAATACATGTGCAATCTTCAGGTTCAACACTAAGACTGGAAGTAGATAATAACTATTACTTCTAATATATGAGAGCAGAAATGTTCTTGGACAATCATCAAAGCAGCTTTGGGTGTTACCAAATCAAAGAATACATATCAGTTCAAATAGAGTTCTTCATGTAAATAATCTTTACCCAAATTTGGTGAGATGTAATTTCTAAATGCTGAGTTCAAAGGTAATTCATAGGCTGAAGATCACACCCAAGCTTTCCATCCTGGGAAAAGTCGGCTGAGGTTTTTGGGATCCATGGCCTGCTGGATGAGCAGGTTGACCTGTCCACCCACACTGAGCACGGTGCCTTCCTCCACTCCTTTCAGCTTCTCTTGCAACCTCATCAAGACACGTTCAGCTACTTTGTTGAAACTCTGGTCCATGTCACTAATGATTAAAAAAACACAAAGATTTTGGTGATATAGAACAGTTCTAAGGGCCTTGGAATAAGAAACAATAGGTCCTTCCTAAAATCTCTCACCTAAGATTTTGTTTGCATTCTTGGTGGTCTGCATTCAGGGTAGACTGGAGCTCAGTTTCATCTTCCGGCCTCTGCTGTAAATACAAAGCTTTCAAAGGGTTCATGGTCCAGTCAAAGAGTGGATCGTACAAAAGGACCTAAACAGAGAAAACATACAGTATTATAAGAACAATGTACATTTTCATTGTGTGGCTAAAAAACAGTACTTGCTACTAGAATTCTAAAAACAAATGCTAGTCACACAGCAGCTGATGGAGGAGGGGGAGCAAATATATAGATGATTCATGTTTCCTTCTGGAACAAACTATGCCAACGTAACTCTCCAAGATTCTCATCTCATCCTAAATTCATTTGTCCTCCATGGTCAGGGGTGATGCCCCTTAACTCACGTCTGACTAACATGACAGGATGATATTAACCTATTAAAGGAAGGTTATGGGGGCTGGAGAGATGGCTCAGTGGCTAAGAGCACGGACTACTCTTGTAGAGGACAGTGTTTGACACCCAACATCCACATTGCAGCTAACAACTGTCTTTAACTCCAGTTCCAGGGGATGTGACTCCCTCTTCTGACCTCCATGGACACTACATGACATGGGTGCACTTACACACATGTAAGCAATACACTCATACAAATAAAATAAAAATAATAGGCAGGAGTGGTGGCGCACGTCTTTAATCCCAGCACTTGGGAGGCAGAGGCAGGCAGATCTCTGTGAGTTCAAGGCCAACCTGGTCTACATAGTGAGTTCCAGGCCAGCTGGGGCTATACGGAAACCCTGTCTCAAAAAGACAAAAACTAAATAAATAAATAAAAAATAATAATAATAAATAAATAAATCTTAAAAGAGGTTACCACTGTCTTCATTCCTTCCCTCTTACTCTTGACCAGTGCAGTCCTGAGTAAGCGGAATCTGCTTTGTAAGCAGCAATTCCCCTTCAGGTGGGCTGTCCTGGGGCAAAGAATAGACTGTGGGAACTGGAGAGTGCCAACAGATCTATTTTGACCTCACTTCAAAGTCATGTTCCCTTACAGCTTTTAGCAGTAGTAAATCTAACATTTTGACCTCCAACCCATTCCAATGGCTCTTTTTCTATCAATCATATCCAAATTTGGGTAAAGAAAAAAAGAAAGATGCAATTTATTGAATAACCAACTGCCCTGCTGTGTATAAACACAGAAGTTTCTTCTTTGCTTTTATTTTCCTTAAAATTCTTTTATAGTCAGGCTTCAGCAAGTCTTGGTAATAAATGAAATCCTAGTTATAGAGATAAATGATCCAGCAGCACAGGCCAACATGACTGAACTGGAACACTTTTTGATTGTTGCTTTTACTGGATTTCTTCACCGTTTACATGCTGGGACTGTAAAATGTCTTTAGCATGTTTAATTCTATAACAGTTTTTTAAATGCTGCTTTGACTGTCCTCCAGAGCCATCAATAACCACAGAGGAGCTGACTGACTGATTATAGGTGGCTTGTTCTTAAGTTCCAGGGCTGCTATGTGATTTTGAGTTGGGCACTAGCATGGCTTCAGAATTCAGAGAGCTAAACCAATTTCACCCACAAAAGGAGTCTTATAAATAAGCCAGGAAGAAGGAATGAAGGTCTCAATCACAAACCTAGTCTTGAGCTGAAGAGTAAAACCCACATAACTTGGTTTGAAATCACAGACTTGTGCCAGGAATCATACTTTCAAATACTGGAATAAAATGGGAAATATGTATTACTCTATCAACACAGAAGTGATGGAAAAAGCTATAGAAACACAAACCAACTCCACTAGAGGAGGCTCTAACATTCAGAACTGGATATTTTTTACAGGCCCTATCCAAGAAATGCCAATTGTGATATCAAAAAGTATCTCCAGATACTGCCAGCTGTCCTCTCTGGGACAAAACTGCCTTTGGCTAAGTACTCTAAGCTAAAGGGAGTGAAATATTTCCTTAGTAGGATAGTTAAAATCTTGGGGAATAAGATGGTCTACTACGAAGACAAGTTCTGGAAGGCCGACAGAGAGAAACATCGAGAAGGAAATGGGAAAGTCCCCAGGTCAAAGTGCTCTGAAACAGGGTTAGGAAGCAGGTGATGTTTAAATTACCAGTACATTAGAAAGAGTGACTGCATCTGAAGATATAGCTTACATGTATAGTGTTTACCTAGAGTACACAAGGTCCTGGTCAATACTGAAAAGAAAAAATAAAAGTGACTGCAGCTCAATGAAATCAAACAGAAGAAAAGAGATGAATCCAAGAAAAGAAGGGAGTGGCATCTCTGTGATAGGGAACCAAGATGCTATTGGGAAGCACTGCCCAGAGCTGGACACAGCAAGAGTGACTGGGAAATTACTCTTAAAGGTTGGGGCAACCATACCAAATGATTTACAGAAATTTGGACCAATTTACTGGGGAGAACATCAGATAGGTCAGTTAGAAAACATAGAACTGGCGGGGGGCATCCAGAAGTGACATGGGTATTGTTAAGTGGAGATAGAAATTGTATTTCAGATGTTAAACCCTCACTTAGAGCACATCCAAATTCCTTACAATGATGGACAAATCCCTAGGTGGCCTAGCAATATCATATCTCCAACTTCATCTACCACAACTTAAAGAATGATAGTCATAGCAATTTGGCATTCAACTAATGATACTTCTACAGCCTAAAAGAAACTACATATGCCCTTTTGGTGTTAACTCAGGATCTAACTACTGAAGAACACTCAAACTACCCAGCCACTAAAAATTTTTCTGACAGAAAGCTGGGCATGGTAGTGCATGCCTTTAATCCCAGCACTTAGGAGGCAGAGGCAGGTAGATCTCTGTGAGATTGAGGCTAGGCTGGTCTACATTAGCAAGTGCCAGGCCAGCTGGGGCTACAGGGAGACCCTGCCTCAAAAAACAAAAACCAACCAACCAACCAACCCACCAAAAAAGCCCCCAAAACTTCTGACAGAGACTAAAAGTAGAATAAAATACTGTGGAATATGTTATACTGCTTTGGACCTTAAGCACATTTTAAAAAGCTGGGATTTTCATTATTTTAGACTACTTTCTACATTATTGAAAATCCACATTATTGTTTTTCCTTATATGACGAATGACAACACATGGTTATCACGTGTCACGGGAGAAGGAAAGGAATACATTCTCAGCTTTAGGACAGATTTCAGTTGTCAACCTACCATGGATACTTTGGGACACATGTTGTCACACACTCTTTCCAACCATCTGTATGACCATCAACAGACCAAAGGAGTTCAACAAAGACACTTCAGTTCATAAAGGTGGATACAGGCCAAGAAATTAACAGGCAGACTGTAAATTCTATCTTCTAGAAAATACAACCCCAACCTTGTTACCAGAGGCTTAACAGTCAGTGCCAGTGAAATAAGACAGTGATTCTCAACCCTGACTGTGCAGCAGGAGTGATTCTACAAGATCTGCCTCCTCTCTAGAAATGTGGTTTGAACTTGGTCGCATAAATACTCTACAGAAGCAGTACAGATGATCCTCACGTACAGCCAGGTCCAGCAACACTAGGTCAAAGGAACAAAAAGCCAAAGAACATAAAGGAAGCGTGCCTGCATGCTACTTCCCATGTTTCCCTGTGGAGGAAACACTGCCGAGTTCCTATCTCATCCACCCTTACCAGACTCGTAAATGACTGCCAGAAGTACACAATTCTCACGGGGGTAGAAATAATGTCTTAAGTACTGAAGTTTTGTTTTCCTTTCTGTCCTGGGTCAACGTAAAACAATGAACCCAATTTAAATGTGTATACTCTGCAGGTCATGTCTACTCAGTGAGCTGTCCCAAGGTTAAACAGCAGAAAGCACTGCAGCAGCCTCAGCAGCAAACCTCACTCCTCAGTCATGCTCACCATTAACAATACTGACACTGATTTCTATCTAAATTAAGTCTGAACCTCATTTAAAAAAAAAAAAAAATCAAGATACACATTACTGATTTTTCATAATGAAACTAATCTCTAGATAATACTATATGGGATTCTTTTTTAAATTAATTGTGTGTGTGTGTGTGTGTGTGTGTGTGTGTGTGTGTGTGTGTGTAGAGACATGTTTGTAAGTACAGGCACATAAGTGTTGCAGGCACATGTGGAGACCAGAGGTCGAAGTTGGATTACTTCCCTGCTTACTTCTCATCATCTGAGATAAGTCTCACCCTGAACTAAAACTCACCAATTTGGTTAGATTGGTTAGCCAGTGAGTCCCAGAGAGTCTCCTGTCTCTGCCTTTCCAATGCTAGGGTTACAAGCATGAACCACTGTGCCTGGTTTTTACATGGGTGGTGGGGACCCAAACTCAGGCCCTCGTGTTTGTATGGCAAGCAGCTTACTGACTAAGCTATTTCTGCAGCCCCAAATGGGACACCTAAGAGGTCAAAGTAGTCATTTATTTATTAAAGACTCTATAGAGGTTACCTAATAATGCTATCACAGTCCAAGAACCATACGGACAACAGAGCCACTTCTAACCCAAGACATTTTGATCTAAGAAAATGCTTACTGTGTAACTTTCCTTCTGTTGCCCAGCAACACCCTACATGAAATGAACAAGTAACAAGATACACTGTCTGGTAAAGAAATACAGGTGTTTTTATGGCATACTTTACCTCTACGATGGTTAACAGAGTTTCCTGGGAATTACGCATAACTTCCATGGTCTTCTCACAGCATCTACAAGGTGAAAACATTACAAACATGGATTCTGTTGCATATAAGTACTTTCAACCTATCTTTACCTATATACACTCAGGTGTACATGCTCAGACTGTCTTTGTTAGCAAGTCCCATTTTTTTTTTAATTCGTTTTTTTTTTATTGAGCTTTTGCAACTTCATACAATAGTTCTTAATCAAATTCAGACCCCTCCCCTATCCATGCCTCCCCATCCCCTCACTGAACCTCATGTATTCTGCCATAGTATGTATGGTATTCTTATTCATTCAGGTGTTTGTACCCAAGTGTTCTTCAGCGCAAATGTGTCCACTGGAGTCCAGTCAGCCCATCTAGCGATCGTATGTAAGTCATTCTCTCCCTCACCCAACAACAATCAATCTCGAATAGTTCTCAGTCTACTGCCGGCCCACCACCCATTTCTCTCCTCCCCTCTGGGCAATTCCCAAATTTTTATCTCAAAGAGCACAAAAGTTGGCAGCGATAGCATTTAAGAGATGTTTCAGGAGGCTGGAGAGATGGCTCAGCAGTTAAGAACACTGGCTGTTCTTGCAGAAGACCCGGGTTCGAATCCCAGCACCCACATGGCAGCTAACAACTGTTTGTAACTCCAGTTCCAAGGGATCTGACAGCCTCTTCTGTCCTCCACGGGCATTGCATGACACAGGTGCACTTACCTACATGCAGGCAACACACACACATAAAAATAATAAACATGTCATACTGCATTCAGTCCCAGTGGTTAAGGAAGAACTACTACTGCCTGTACCAACCAGAGTCTTGTCCACAGCGCACTGCACAGTGCTGGTATGTAACTCTACCAAGCAATCCCAACACCTATATAAAGCTGAAACTTGAATAATTTTGATACCAAAACTTGTCTGCACTCCCTGGCTTACCTTCTGAAGACACCCTCAACACCAGTGATGCCCATGCCATCCACGATATCCCTGGTGAGTCGAAAAGGCACCGTTTCTGGAGTAGGAAGGATTTTCCCCTGCTCAAAAGCAACCCCTAAAATAAAATAATACAGCGAGGCTAGAAGTTTATCAGCTGACTTATTTACTGTCTCCACCAGCAGCATGTGAACTTTGTGAAGGCAACAAATACTCTTGTCGTCACACATTGTTAGTGCCAGGCTATACAGATGGCTCTCCTCCTGCTCTCCCTGCCAACCTTGTCTCCACCACTGATGACATTTACTTCAGATATAAAAACAACAGTTTCTGGACCAAAATTCAGATTGAAGGATTATTTTCAAGAATGGAAAACTGATAGAATTTAAAAAGCAGAAAATGCTGGGTGTGGTGGTGCACACCTTTAATCCCAGCACTTGGGAGGCAGAGGCAGGTGGATCCCTGTGAGTTCAAGGCCAGCCTGGTCTACACAGTAAGTTCTAGGACAGCTGGGGCTACAGGGAGACCCTGTCTCAAAAAGACCAAAAAAAAAAAAACCCAGAAGACACATTTGATGTGTTTTAAAACATTTCGAATGAAGCTTTTAGTTTTGAGATAGACTCACATGCTTAATTGTGAGATAATTACAGATTCATTTGCAATTCCAAGAAATAAACAGGAAGATCACCTTACATACTGTTTCTCCTGATGGTACTACCTTAAAAAACTGTATTACACCAGGATGGGACACTGATACCGCCAAACACACAGCATTTCAGTCTCAAGGATCCCTCATACTACCCTTTTACAGCCACACGTGTTTTTCTCCCAGGGCTTTTCACATACCCCACCCCCAACATTACCCATTCATCTAACAACCACTAATTTGCTTAAAAGTTTTATAGTTGTGTCATTTCAAATGTAGTATATAAATGAAATCATATAAAATATGACTTTCTGAGATGGGCTTTCTTCACAAGGCAGACTTCTCTGGAGAGTCATCCAGATTCCTGGGCGTTTCAGTACACTGGTTTTACAGCTAAGTAGGATTCCATGGTAGGGCTGTACTGTAGTTTAAGCATTTGCCAGTGAAGGACATCTGGACTGTTTCCCGCTTTCGCTTTTGACTATTATGAATAGCACACATTTGTACTACTGGCAAATATCTTTTTGTGTTTGCCATCTAAATTTCTTCTTTGGGGAAGTGTCTATTTATGCCTTTGCCTATTTTCTTTTCTTTTTTAACCACTGAGTCTTGACAGGTCTTAAGGATAGTTACTTTTCGATCAAGACTAAGAACTCTGGATAGCTCTCAATATTGAAGATTAGTCATGATTTTTCTTCTGTTGTTTAGATTAGGCAATTCTGTCTCTATGGTCTTTTCTTCTGTCTCCTCATTCTGTCGATTTTTAAGTTTCAATTACTATATTTTCTATTCTGAAATCTCTCTCTGGTTCTTCTTTATAGCTTCTATTTCTGTACTGAACTTGCTGTAGAATCATTTGTTTCACATGTGTTTATAACTGCTCAGTAAAGCACTGCTTATTTTTTTCCCCTGATGCTAGAGACCAGACTCTGGGCTTTGCACCTGTTGGGCAAGGGTTCTACCACTAAGTAAAATCCCTAACCCTCTCTGAAGCATTTTTATGAAGGCTGCTTTACAAGCTCTTTAGGCAATTCTAGCTTCTGTCATCTCAGCGTAGACACCTGTGTACTGTTGTTCTGTACTCAAGGCAAGATTTTCCTGGTGTCTTAATATGACTGTTGATATTTGACAGAAACCCATACCTTTTAGCTATTTTTAGTTACTCCGCATTATAATTACACTTCTGATTTGTTGCCTTTGGCAGTCAACATCTTGTGACTGGCAGGCAGGACAGAAGTCTGGTTTCCCTATTTGGTCTCCACTAAAAGGGATCCAAAGAGGAAAGTGCTTATTACAGTTGAGTAGAACTGGAGGAGGCCAGATAGTTACCACTAATACCAAGGGGTGAATTAGAGTGGGGAGAAAAATTGGAAAAAGATAGAAACCATGTGGAAATGCACTGAAGCATCAGACACATGGTGAAGAAGCCATCTTGGACTCCCACCCATCTGGAATCTTCAAATGACTCTAGCCCTAGATTCCAACTCCAAGTACAAGAGATCCTCAGCCAGAACTGCCTAGCTGAGCTCAGTCAGCCACAGGTCAGAGCAATAATAATAACTACAGTTCTAAGATGCCAAATTTGGGAGAGCACTTGTTCTACAGAAACATAATTGAAGAGCTGTACATAGAAAAGTATAAATCATTCAAGTGTGTGGCTCACTAGATTTTATAGTGTAATCAGCATCCAAACAACTGTACCAGAACTTAAGACCTTCTTCAGGACACCCTTTGGCAGCACATACTAAAACCAGATCAATACAGAGAATATTAGCATGGCCCCTAGGCAAGGATGCCACACAAACCATGAAGCATTCCATAAAAGAGCACTCTCCTACCAGTTAGCTCCCATTTCTTCAAAGAGTTTTCACTATAATGACTTCTAACACTGTAGATTCCTGGGATTTTATATACAGAAATATATAAATTTTATATATCGCTTTGAATTTTATATACAGAAAATTATATAATGTGTGCTTTTCTATGTCTTTTATTTAGTTTTGTATTTATTTTTTAAAATATTTTATTTTTATTATTTTTTTATTTTACGTGTATGCATGTATTGCCTGCATGTAGGTAAGTGCACCCCTGTTGTACAATGTCCGTGGAGGACAGAAGAGGGTGTCAGATCCCCTGGAACTGGAGTTACAGACACTTGTTAGCTGCCACGTGGATGCTGGGGTTTGAACTTGAGTCTTCTGCAAGAACAACCAGTTTTTAAGCACTGAGCCATCTCTCCAGCCCTTAGTTTTGTATTTGTAATAAGGGTCTTTAATATTGTTCACGAATCTCATTGTTGTATGGTATTCCATTTTATGAATACACTACAATTTATTCATCCATCTATCCATCCATGATGGATGTTTGGTCTGTTTCAGGTTTAGGCTATTATGAACAGCACCACCACAAGCATTCTAATACTCATGTGTACATTTCTGCTGCAGTGGAACTGCTGGGCTAGAGAAGTACAGAGCAGATCACAGTACTCTAAAGTCCTTGTACCAATTTGCCTTTCTCATCTGTAACTGCTTTTGGCATAGCCTGACACAGGCTAGCATTTTCCTATTTCTATTCTGCATCTTCCAAATCACTGTCCTTTCACACTACTGAGGTCCTACCTTCTAGCTCTAACAAATCCCTCTCACATTCACTTTACCCTTCTGCTTCAACAGACTAATATGAATTAACACTAAAAATTTATTATCTCCTAAAAGTGCACTTCCTTAAAAATCTCAAATTCTCCATCTAATCAAACTCCTATTTCCTTATCGTCATTCAGTAGTCTTCAAACTCAGCTGAGATTTTTGTCTGTGCCCCTTCCTCACTCACTCATGCCAGGGGTAGAGACTCCATGGCTGGCTACTTTCACCAGTACTTCAAACTCCTTGTCCTGCCAACACCTCCCCTGTTAACAGACTGCAGCCTAAACGCCAGAGGTACTGACAACTGCTGGAAACTCTCATGACAATACCACCAGCTCTAAAACAAAGGTAGGACTATCACCTAGGAACTCGTCCTTCAAACTGCTTGGTGTACAACAGTCCTTTCTAATCAAATTCATGAGCTCATTTCAGTGGGTCCTCTTTTGGGAATTTTATTCTTCTTTTAAGTCCAATTACCATTCCTCCAATTGTTATCAAATGAGCATGCTATTTCTCAGAAAAAAAGAGTAACGCAATTTCTTCACAGTCTTTCCCCACTAGCTTAAACTATTAGAATTCATCCTTTACTCCTCTGCAGAAAGCTAACGCGTCTCCAATCTGAAGACTGTGCTAGCAGACCTTCATAGTATGACATTTTTTCCTTGCTGTTTCAATTGCCTTGTTCTTCCCTATATCATCGTATCTAATGTTTATGCTTCTCCCATCTTTAAAAAAAGAACCAAAGGTGTGTCTCTGGTCTATGTGGATTTCTCTCCCATTTTTCCTTTCAATTCCAAACTTCTTACAGAACTATTCCACACTCTTAGTCTACAATCCTTAATTTTATTCTTTGCTCTTTTACAATTTAGCTTTTCCTCATCGATTTCTAGGTATTTCCTAGGTCCCAGGAATGACTGATTGTTAGATTCAAAGTACCATTTTTTTTTAGCATTCATTTGCCTTTCTGTTCAGTTACTACTGAAGGTACTACTCCCTTCATGAATTTTTTTCCTCCCATGGCTTCAAAGACACCTCTTCCTCAGGTTAAAGAGATGGCTCAGTGATTAAGCTACCCCTTCCTCCTGGTTTCTAAGTCTTGGTTTCTCTTAGTTTGCTCTATTTTGGAATGATGTCTCATTCCACAGCCCAGACTAGTCTGGGACTCCCTATGTAGTTCAAGCTGTCTTTGAACTCAGAAATCCACCTGCCTCTGCCCCGAGTGCTGGGCAACTGCTGGAATGCTGGAAACTCCCATGACAATACCACTGGCTCTAAAACAAATGTGTGCGCCACCAATGCCAGGCTTGCCTTTGCATTTTCAGTAACAGCACTCTCTCTCTCTCTCTCTCTCTCTCTCTCTCTCTCTTCTCTCTCTCTTCTCTCTCTCTCTCCCTCCCTCCCTTCCTCCCTTCCTCTCTCCCTCCCTCTCTCCCCCTCTCTCACCCCCACCCCCCGGCTGAGACAGGGTCTCCCTGTAGCCCCAGCTGGCCTGGAACTCACAGAGATCCGCCTGCCTCTGCCCCCCGAGTGCTGGGATTTTTAAGTGTGTGCCACCACACCTGGCCAGTAACAGCATTTCTAATGCTTCAGTCCTCAGTCCTTTTTAAAGAATGACGTGTAAGATCATAATCTCCTCCAGTTCGGCAACTTCAAATGAACTCTTTGCTGCATGGTCTAAATCTGTCATTACATCCAAACCTTTCTTAAACATTAACCTCTTGGGGGATGGAGAGATGGCTCAGTGGTTAAGAGCACTTGCTGATCTTGGACGACTATAGTTTGGTTCCCAGCACCGACATGGCAGCTACTTGCCACCTGTAATTCCAGTTCTAGGGAATGTGATGTCCTCTTCTGGCAATATACTTACATACAAGCAGGCAAAACACTCATACATGAACAATACAAAATCAATAAAAACTTTAAAAAGTCTTCAAATACAATCTCCTGGTCACTATAACTCTGGTCCATACATTCATTATTTCACACAGAATCCTTATTATTCATTTCTAAACTATTATTGCTCCAAATTCCTCCCAAAAATTACATTAAAAAATCAAACATGATAGTGTCCTCTTTATCTTCACTTGCTTCCCATCAACTCAAGGTAAAAACTCTTTTAATCTATCTTTTTAGTCTATTACCAAGCTGCTTAATTACAAAGCTCATGCTAGCCAATTTAATATGTCACATTCCTACAACATGCTTCACCAATTACTCCTTTTAAAAAGATTTTCCCTTTTATCGCATTATTGTTCCTTTTTCTTCTTGAAGACCTGACTGAATCCCCACGCCTTATAGTAAGTTTTACTCATTATCCAAGGTAGAAATGGCTACTTCTTCTGTCTAGACCTAAGGAAAAAAAATGTTTCATTTTTTAAAATCTTTGCTCTGGTATGTCTGACTTCTTCATATCTGCACCATGCTCAGAGTCAAGTGATCGTAGTTGATGACTAAATATTAAAGAAACAGGGCTGGACAGATGGCTCAGCAGTTAAGAACACTGAATGTTCTTGCAGAAGACCCAGGTTCAAATCCCAGCACCCACATGGTAGCTAACAACTGTCCGTAACTCCAGTTCCAGGGGATCCCACAGCCTCTTCTGTCCTCTGCGGACATTGCATGACATGGGTGCACTTACCTACATGCAGGCAATACACGCATACACATAAAATAAAAATATAAAAATAATGAAATATTTTTTAAAAAATTAAAGAAATAGATGTATCTTATTACTTACCCAAGTCTATGTGTACAAGTTCTGCTGACTGTTCATTTATCAAGATATTCTGTACATGCCTATCACCAAGTCCAAGGATGTAACCAACTAGAAAAGCAATAAAATCAACAATGTGAAATCACTGACTTCATCTATCTTTTTAGGCTATTTAAAGGAAATTATGGGACTGGAAAGATGGCTCCGTGGTAAAGGCAATGGCTGTTCTTACAGAGGACCTGGGTTTGGTTTCCAGCAAAAGCATGCTGATTAACAAAAGTCCTTAACTCCAGTTTCAGGTGTTCACTTATAAACATGCAGGTAAAATGCCATACACACGAAATATAAATAGTAAAAAATAAAGGAAACTATACACAGTAATAACATTTAGAGTTTAAATCAAATATGGCCAGCTACTGTAATTCACATTGCATTTTACAAATAGGTTGCTAAAAATGTTTGTCTTTATTAAAAGGAATAGGTTTATTTTGAAATTAGTGTGGTAAAAAATGAGATCCACTGTTTATCTGGGCCAATGCAGTACATCACATGCTCTCAAAATTTTTATTCAGAATTCTAACAAATTGAGAAGTACATTGGTAACTTCTTCATTCTACAGTGAAACTTCTGCTTGATGAACTATACTGACCAGAAATTAATCACAAATTCATTTTACTAGATACATATCCAGGCAAAACTGCATTTCTATTTTGATTAAAGATTTATTTTTATTTTATGTGCATGAGTGTTTGCCTGTGTCTGTATGTGCACCACATGAGTCCAATGTCCAATCCCCACAGAGGTCAGAGGTGTCGGATTCCCTGGAACTGGAATTATAGATGTTGTGAGCTGTCATGTGCATGCTGGGAACTGAACCCAGGTCCTGTGCAATAGCACCAAATGATCTTAATTGCTAAACCAACTCTCCAGCCCCTGCATTTCTATTTTTAAGGAAGATGATGTCATGCCTGATGAGACACCATATAGCATCACAGAAAAATCACTGGGTGGGGAATAAGTCTGCCTGTGTGCATAGCTGGCCACTAGGCCTACTTTCTTGTTTATAAACGAAATCACCTTAATCAGATTAAGTGATCCTCAATGTAGAAGAGATTCTCACAGTAACTGGGGAACTTTTCTAAACATACATGCACTGCTTCTCTAGGTATAATACAAAAGCAATAGAGGAAACCGTCTCCAGTTAAAAACCAACAAAAGAGAGGGCATCTGATGTTTCTACTAGTTTGCATACTCTAGGATTTTGTTAATTGCTTTATCTAACTATTCTAATCTCATTTTTTTAAAAATCCAAATATGTTGTACATCAAGTATTTAAATACATATTACAATTTCTATTCTTAGAAGATTCTATTAAACAAATCATAATATATTAGAGGTTCTGTGCAAAAGAATAATGAAAGTTAGTCAAATGGAGATATCAAAGGTTTTATTTTCCATAGAAAAACTCAAGGAATATAAAGAGGGAGAAAAAAAGTCATATTCACTATATTAAAAAAAGAAAAAAGTAGTTTTATTTCTTTACCTCAGAGTAGAAATTCTTCTCTCTAAAGATGAAAAGCTATGCTTAGAAGCTAGCAATCAGTATAAACAAAAACCACAACAAGCTAATGATGAGAATAATTTGGGTAACAATTACCATCGCTACTAAAACCCACTATAATTCAGAATGCAGGAGAATGCTCAACATGGTCAGATGTATAAGATTACCAATAGAAGAAGTGGCCGCACTGCGGGTATAAGCCAATCGTTTCTCAAACCAAACAGCTGGGTCCAAGAATTTTTCCATGCAGAAGTAACGGAAAACTGGTTGAAAGTTTTTGCAAACAGTCATAAAGATCTCATATTTCTCTTCAAAAGATTTCTTTTGCACCTCCTTTAAACAGAACATAATTTAAAACATAATTTCTCAATATTATAATCAACTCATTCAACTAATGTCCACTATGCTTCAAATGAAAAATGTAATAGACATAGAGGCAAAAAGAAAGAACAAGATATTCTACCCACAAAAAGTTAACTGGTCAGGAGAGCCTTTATGTAGAGGCGATAACCCATTAAATTCTATCAGTTCTTATTTACTTTAATTAAATTCTAATTTGGTCTTGTGCGGCAGGTAAAGTAAGAGAAATGCCATAGGCAGCTCCCAGTACTCTCAGGTGACATCACAACACTAGCACTTTGACAGGGAGGAGAGGCGAACAGAAGAATCACTGATGGATGGAGAAGAGGCTGGCATGTCACAGACCTCTACCCAAAATCTCTTACTGTTGAACACTTTCCTGAAGTAAAACTCATCAGCTTCGGTGAGCTCGGTGTCCATCCATGTGATGATGGCATCCAAATCTGGTCAGATTTATTACAATTCAGAGTGATAATGCTGTTCCATTTTTTGATTCAATATCTTCACTTGAATCATTCCAAATCCAAATAAAATACCTCATCACCACCTCTATTATCCAATGCAGATAAAAGCCTCTCTACCCACCTGGTCACCACAACCAGAAAACTAGGAGGTGCACTTCTTTCCTGTAAGCCTTTTAAAAACTGAAATTTTTCATACAGGTATTGTGTGTCAATATGTCCTCCCACCTGTCACGCTTACCCTTGCTTTTTCAATTCCCTCCCCCTTCCCTGTTGTTTCCCTAGACAACTCACTTCAACTTTCATTTTATATATACATGTGATTTTATGACATTTCATATGTCATACATACATGCATGACTGCATAAAATCTAGGAGCCACAAATTTGAGAATATATAATATTTGTCTTTCTGAGACTGGCTTAATTTACTTAGAACAAGGATCTCCAGTTGTATCCATTTTCCTGCAAATAATGTTAACTTCATTCTTCTTTATGGCTGAAAACAATTTCCATTTTCTTTAGTCCTCTGTTGATGGACACCTAGGCTGGTCCCATAATTTAGCTATTGTGAATACTTGTCCTCAGGTATATATCCAGGAGTGGTATAGCTAGGTCTATATTAGTTTTTTGAGAAACCTCCAGACTGACTTCCATACTGCCTGTACTAGTTTACATTCCCACTAGCAGTGTATATGGGTTTCCTTTGGTCTACATCTGTGTATGTGAGGAAAAGCATGCACCACAGCACACGTGTGGCAGTCAAGAGGATGATCTGTGGGAGTTGGTTCTCTTCTTCCACCATATGGGTCCGGGGGGGCTAACTCAGGTCGTCAGGCTTGGCAGTAAACACCTTTACCCACCGAGCCATTTTGCCAGCTTCTAATATGTGCTTTAATAAAGGGTAAATCATAATTATGTAGAGAAACATAATTGTATGTGTGAGTATATACACACAGAGTATAATCTGTATCTATCTCCAAGAGTTCTTTTCTTAGCTTCAGTAATTAATAAAAACAGGATAAGCATCTCTCTTTGATGTTAAATGCCGTAGGATCATGTTGTATTATGGACTGCATCCCCCACTCCCTTCAGCTAATCTGTCCCCTCCCACACACTCCCTTCAGCTCATCTGCCCCCCTACTCCCTTCAGCTCATCTGCCCCCCCCCACTCCCTTCAATTCATCTGTGCCTCTCGCCCACTCCCTTCAGCTTTTGCAACCTCCTTCCCATACACACACCCCATTTTTATTTTTTGGGCCATTCCCCACTTCCCTTATTGCTGCCCAAACTACATGGGCTGGGGGCCAGGGCTGGATGGACAGGTACCTCCCCATACCCATTCCCCCTCCATGTATGTATGGAAAACATTTTTTGGTTTTTGGGTCTTTTTTTCCCCTGAATAAAAAAAGATTCTAACAACAAAAAAAAGTTTTTTAATTTTACGTGGTCCAATGTCAATTACTGACTTTATTTAAGCAACTGGAGTTGAAGGAGAGTAAGTGCCCCTCAGAACCCCTCCCTGTCCTCTGAGGAAGAGCTGCCCTCCGCCTGACTCTGGAAATTCCTTAGATTGTTCAAACCCTTTCCTGATACATCTGTTTATGGTTTCTATGGAAATGGTCTGGGGCAGAAGAAGAACAGTCTGCTCCAGGTAAGCTAGCCAATGGCTATATAGGTTAAGGCTCTGGAAATCAGCCCTAGATTGTTCAAATCCTTTCCTGGTTCTTCTGTTTATAGTTTCTATAGAAATCCCCTGCTCTGAGGTTTTTGTGCTTAAAAGCCCTGAGTTTCTACAGCTCTGGGTCGCAGTGCAGCTCCCGAGCTAGCCTGCATCCCGGCCGGTTGGTCTCAATAAAGCAGTTAAGTTTTCCTGAGTCTCAGTGTCTGAGTGGTCAATTCAGGGAATTCTTTGGACCCCGAACAGAGTCCTATTCAGAGAGTGCTTGTCTATGCCTTCTCGTGAAGTAGTTTCCTTACTTCTTCCTCTAATAGTGTAACATCACTTATCATCATCATCCATCAAGTTCTAGGAGCTGTCTCCTTAATGTATCTCCTACCTACCCGTGATTCTCCACATCATTCAGTCTTAGTACAGTCTTATCCCATCCCATATCCCTCATCTGCTTTCTCAAAAACACAGCCCATGTCACTGTCATCTCACTAGAATGCAAATCTGACATCTTCTTCTTTTCCAGAGTCTTTTACTACCTATAGGATAAAGTAAGAGCTTACAAGCATTTTACCAAGAAGCCCTCCACATTTTGACCAATTGTTACTGCAGCCTCATCTATCCCTCCTGGAAAAATAAGCCTATGCCTCTTTATCTACTTGTGCCTCTTTCCTGTTGCTTTTATGCGTCTACCTGGGAAACGTACTCATCTATAATTTGGTTCAGTCAGGCGTGGTGTCACATGCCTTTAATCCCAGCACTCAGGAGGCAGAGGAAAACAGATCTGAGTTTGAGGCCAGTATGGTCTACATTGTGAACTGTAGGTCAGTCAGAGCTATACAGTGAGACCCTGTCTCAAAAACAAACTAAAACAAACAAACAAAAAAAACCCAAACCCTCAAAGCTTAGTTCAAATAAATACCTTCTTATGAAGCCTTTCTAGAATCTAATTCTCTCCACTCCTCCCAATCCTAGCTGGAATAAGCACCTTTTTCCTCTAAGCCTATACCCACCATGTATGCCCTGAACAGACTTCCATAAATGCCTATAACATTTGAAAATAAAACCAAAACAAACATGTAGGGGCCAGCAGAATGGCTCATAGGGTAAAGGAGCTTGTGTGCAAGCCTAGGGACCTAAGCTCAATCCCTGGGACCCACATAAAGGTGAAAGGAGAGAACTAACACTGTTCTATTGTCAGCAGACCTCCACATCTAAGCCATGCCCACACTCACAATAATGATAAATTACAAGACAGCCAATGACATGGAGAGTATTTTAGACGGGTCACGTAAAAAGTATTGCCTAATCTGTTTCTTTATTTTAATTGGTAGTTTGTTTTTATTAAGAATTACTCTATCCTAGCCAGGCGTGGTGGTGCATGCCTTTAATCCCAGCACTCAGGACGCAGAGGCAGGTGGATCTCTGTGAGTTTGAAACCAGCCTGGTCTCCACAGTGAATCCAGTACAGCTGGGGCTACAGGGAGAAAAAAAAAAAAAAAAAAAAAAAAAAAAAAAAAAAAAATTACTCTATCCTAAATGGGAAACAAACTAATATAAAATGAATACTGTCTATATTTCTCAGATGACAGTGTTGGCACTTCACACTTGAGAAACCTTCCTATTTCAGTCACACACATTCATCTTTGTAAGTTCACTTTTTTTTTTTTTAACTTAGGATCTTCAACAATTGTCTCATGGGATTAAATTTAGAACATTTGGTGGCTGCTAGCTTTATAAACTATTAAACAGGCTTCCAACTCACCATCATTTTCTTTTGGCAGTGAATGGCACTGAAATCATTTGGCCGGTATCTTGTATGAGCACCTTCTTCATTGTTAACAAGATATTCACCAATGGGGACAGTTCCTATGCACCACTCAAGAACACCACTTCGCTGAGAGAGGGGAACCACCTGAAGTGAAAGTAAATACTTAAGGTTAGGGCAGGCCATCAAGAACAGCTGATGGTCATCCCACCACCAGTCAGTACAGAGTGTTTCATCAGGTTGCACTAACATTTCTACTCATAGGAGGCAAAGCTCCTTGGAGGAAAGTATGGAGGTATTTAGAACATAAAAAAAAAAAATTCCTTTAGTTCCCATTATATACCTGTTCTCTAAGGTAGAAAACGGCTAACAGCTTTTCAACTTTGTTCTATAACTAAGTCAGATCGATACATAGCAACCAGACTGGTGGGTTTCAAAGCATGATCCCTGGACCAGGGCAGTGTCAGCACTGCTTGCTATCCAGCCAGAAATTTGGTTGAGGGTTCTACTGTCGATCAACTGAGTTAGAAATGCTGAGGATGAGCTCAGCAATCTGCTTTAACAAGCTCTCTAAAACTAGGCGAAGGGAAACCTAGCACTCGGGAAATAGAGACAGGAAGATCTGGAGTTCATGGTCATTCTCGGGTACATATTCAAACACAGAGGGAGATCTGAGAGACACAGAGAACACTCAATAAATGATGATGGCCACTAAAGCATGATTATTACTAAACCACATTAAAAAATAGCTTTCATAGGACTTAACTTTTGCTTTTGGCATTGAGAACTAGTTTTAAGAAGAACAATAACAACAATTACTGTTGGGCTGAGAATGTGACTCAGTTGGTAGAGTGCTTATTTAATTTTTAGAAATGTGGACCTGAAAATGTTCTAAGGGTTATTCAGTTCTATTAACTTCCCCCATCCTCATCTCCATCCCTGTGCTGGAGACTGAAACTGGGCATCAAAGGTACTAGGAAAGACCTCAACACTAAGCTATATATATGACAACTTGATCTACAGTTAGCCCATGAACCACATCATTTCATTAACAAAGCTTAAGCATTTGTCTTAGTATGATTGGACAAATCCACTTACATATAACTTTTTCCAAAAAAATTTAATCATTCTCATATATGTATTTTTCAAGTCAAACTTCTAAATAACTGGGCATGTTACAAGACATTTGATTGCAATTTTACGGTCTATACATTAATCTGAAATAAGATGACATTTTTCAATGCTATTCCATTTAAGACATATCCCACTTTTATACTTTATTATGTTTTTGTAATATTTAATGCAGTCTTATATTTATCTTAACACTACTCCTAGGAAGTTTCTTCATATTATATACTTTTTTATGATGTAAGGAACACATTTACACTATGTTTTTAAGCGAGTCTTAAAGGTTAGCATAGCTCCAAGTTAAAGACTTTCACTTCTAAAGAGATTATTTGCAGCATCTACCACTTGACAGTAAAAGAAACAGACACCAAGACTGCAGCTGAAAAGATGCTTCCCCACCAGAAGGGAAAAAAGCACTTTAATTTCTTATATCCTCCTCAAAACAGAAGAAAGGAGCAAATCAGTCCTGTTATAGCAGTGACAGGAGGAGAGGGAAAAACCAGAGAGAAGAACAAAGCCAGAAAGGATAAAACTACAGAATGCAGGCCCCTCAAAACGAAGATCCCGGTCTAAGTAGTGAGCTCCAGGACAGCTGGGGCTACAGAAAGACCCTGTCTCAAAAAGACAAAAAAACCAAAAAACCCACAACAAAGAGCCCAAGATCAGCTAACAGAATAACATGACTTGAAGACTGTCTTCTCAGACACTGGAGGACTGTCAATAGACAGAATGCCAACGACTGCAATCTCGCAAAAATCTACCAAATTGAGCTGTGTATCCTCCAACCTACCAATCCAACTTTTGGAAATCTTTCCAGTAGATTCATCTGCATATGTATGAAATTCACATGTTCACTGCTGAGGATCACTGTTTCTAATGGCACAAGCCTGGCAACAACCCAAATGGTCTTCAATAAGGACGTGTACAAATAACTATGTGCATACAAATAACTATGTGCATACAAACAACAGAGCTACTAAAAAATGAGAACAATTTCTATAATATATTAATACAAAAAGGGGGGAAAGCATTTCTTGACTATTAGAAATATCTAGCTGCAACTAATCTTAATACTTTTTTTTGTCTTTTGGAAACAGGGTCTCCCTGTAGCCCCTGCTGGCCTGGAACTCACTATGTAGACCAGACCAGCCCCAAACTCACAGAGATCCGCCTGCCTCTGCCTCCCAAGTGCTGGGACTACAGGCATGCATCACCACGCCCAGCCTTAATCTTAATATTTTTTAAGAAAAAAAATAAAAATGATATTGTTTAACCAGACATTGGTAATCAATGGCCTTTGGACCCAAACCTACATTAGTCTGGTTTCATATAGCCTGTGAGCTAAGAACGGTCTTTCAGGTTTAAAAAGTAATAATAATAATAATAACAATAAATAATAATAAAAAAATAATAAGCCTAAGTGGCTTTCAAAGTCTAAAATATTTACTATTTGCTCCTTCAGAGTAAACATTTTCTTGATCCTTGGTCCCAATAATGCATCTTTTTCCTGGTGAAGCAACAGATTGAAAGTCCATTACCTTGTATGTGCAGATGGTCAGTTTCCTCTTCCTGGTTTCAGTGTTCCTCTGTAGTAATGAATTACACATCTGAAAAACCTGCTGCATGACAGCATCTTGTCTTAGGTCATCACGGCCCTGCAGAACAATGGACATAAACAAGCACAGTTCATTTATTACAAGTACAAAGTCATCCAAGAGCAGTAAGACACTCAGAAGTCAATCTGAGCTTCGGTGCTCCCCTAGAGTCTCTATATAGTGAAGATCTACTACATTCTTTCATTTAGAATAAAACTGTGAGGCAGACTAATATTTAAAAAAAGGAGTTTCTCCTAATTAGGCTGCTCTCGTAATTAGGCTAACTGAACTCCCCACCTGAGGGCACAGTTCAAGCCTGAATAAAGCAGTATTTTCTAGCTGGGCGTGGTGGTGCATGCCTTTAATCCCAGCATTTGGGAGGCAGGGTCAGGGAGACTTCTGAGTTCCAGGCCAGCTGGGGCTACAGGGAGACCCCATCTCAAAAAGACCAAAAAAAAAAAAAGGCAGTATTTTCTCTTTCTTCCCTTCTCTAGCAAGACCCCAAAAGCACTTAGGCAAACAGTAAGAAAGCCAGGAATCCTGTCACTTTGTGCTCTAGCAGAATAACAGCTGACACAGTACCAGGCCCAGTATACTATTCTAGTCACGGAAATGAATTACCGCCCAAAGCTTTTTTTTTTTTTTACAAGCAAGCTCATGATGTATATAGCATTCTTTTTCTTTTTCTAATGAATTGCACAATAATGAGTGCCAAGCCTAGTAACTATAATCACAGCTTCTCCAGAGGCTTAGGCAGGAGAATCCCAAGTTCACAGCCAGCCTATTCACCTTAGTGAGACCCTGTCTCAAAATAAAAACTAAAAAGGGGCTGAGGGTACAGCTCAGTAGTAGACACTTGCTTAAAATGAGCCAGGCTGTGGGTTTAATCCATAAGAGTAGAAAGGGGAAAAAACAAAACAAAACAAAAACAAAAACAAAACAAAACAATGATAGTCTTTCAGAGAAAGATACATAATAAAACACAAAAGCATTTTGCTTCTAGCAAACTATTTCTATTTTTCAAGTTTTTCCTACCTATAATTATTCATAACAAAGCTAGAGCTAGACACCAAAAGTAAGAGGAAAATATTGCTGTTAGTTTGTCTTGACTTAGATGCCATTAACCCTCCAAGGACTTTACCAGAAAGAGAAGGTCTCACCTTGACAAGCTGCCTCCTCTCCTTGCCATCAGAGCCCACACAGTCTATTATCTTGGGTAAATTTAAGCCTCCTGCTAAACGAAATTCTGACTTAAATGACTGTATAGTCACCAGATTTCCATACTCTCCTGTGGGATCCACCTAATAAATTATGACAAGTAATTATTATACATCAGATAAACTACTTGCATTTAAAGATAAATAAATTATAAATGTTGATTTTAAAACTAAACAGAAGAATGAATGACAAAATGCTGCTGGTTGACAAATGGAGCTACAATTTACTTTGCTTGATGTAAGTTAGAATAAATGATATTGGATAGACTTTCAAAATTACATTTATTTAGAGTGTGTGTGTGTCTATGTGTACCTTCAAGAGCACACCACACCAAGCAAGTGGTCAGAAGGCAACTTTGGAGACTCAGTTCTCTCTGTGATCGAATTCATCAGGCTTGGCAGCAAGTGCCCTCACCTGCTGAGCCATCTCACTAGCCCAGATTTTTTTTAGATTACATGTAAAATAGTTCAGTTCTGAGTATCTTTTAATAAAACAACAGCATATCAAGTTAATTACAATAGTCCCACTGAAAAATTGCTGAAAAAATTATACTTTAGCTGTCACATATTAAATCGCTTGAGAAATGTTTTAATTCGCAAAAACAAAAGGTTTAAAAAAATTTTTTTAAATATTTTATGTGTCTGAGTGTATTGCCTGTATGAATGTAAGTGCACCTGTGTCATGCAATGCCTGTGGAGGTCAGAAGAGGACGTTGGATCCCCTGGAATTGGAATTATGGATGGTTATTAGGCTCCATGTGGGTGCTGCGAACCGAACCCAGGTCTTCTGCAAGAACAGCGGTGCTCTTAACACTGAGCCATCTCTCCAGCCCCCAAAAAGGGAAAAATTAAAAAGTGATGAGAAGTATTTGGCTAAACATAGCCTGTATTAATTAATCTATATGATGATGCTACATTTCAAATTCAGTAACCACAGATACTAATCTTAATGTACAACCTGAAAGGAGAGATTTACAAACACAGATTTTTATGGCAATCTTTATTATTACACACATCCCTGCCAACATGGTATTGTTAGCAATAAAATGTCAATATGAATAGCTAAATGTATCATGTACACAGTCAACTTACTGTTGTGTTACTTAAAAATATATACATCACAACCAATACATTCCACTGCATATTGATTTATTAAAAACAAAACAACTACAACAAAAAAGAGAGGAGCCGGGCGTGGTGGTGCACGCCTTTAATCCCAGCACTCCGGAGGCAGAGGCAGGCGGATCTCTGTGAGTTCAAGGCCAGCCTGGTCTACACAGTGAGTTCCAGAACAGCTGGGGCTATAGGGAGACCCTGTCTCAAAAAGACAACCCCAAAAAAAAAAAAGAGAAGCTTGCAATATGGCTAACATGGATGACATGACACAGACACAGACACACACACCCCTATTAAAAAAAAAATAGGGGCTGGAGAGATGGTTCAGTGGTTAAAAGCGCTGGTTGCTCTTGCAGAAAACCCAGGTTTGGTGGCTAATAACCGTCTGTGAACTTCAGTTCTAGGAGATCCTACACCCTCTTCTGATCTCATACACATAAAATAAAAATAAATAAATAATAATAACATGAAACAAAACAACTGGGCCAGGCCTAATCCTAGCTACTTTAGAAGCTGAGACAGGAGGATTGGAAGTTTAAGGCTTGCTTGGGCTGTAGAGTACGCTGAAGGCCAGCGTGGTCAACTCAGTAAGATCCTGTCTCAAAATTATAATAAAAAAGGGCTGGAGATATATATGCTTGCCCAACATGAACTAGGTTGAATCCCTAGTACTGTAAAAATAAATAAATAAATAAATAAATAGATGGAAATTCTCAGCAGAAGCTTCTGAATATTTTGGCTTTGACAAAGGAAAATACAGGAAACCTCTAGGCTGAACACGTGAAATTGCCAATATTTAGCCCATTTTAACTATATAAGATGGTTTACAGATGATCTAATCTACTAAGGTATAATTTAGTCTAATTAAAAATCAAATGTCACTGGGTGTGGTGGCGCACACTTTTAGTCTCAGCACTTGGGAGGCAGAGAGGCAGGCGTATCTCTATGAGATTGAGGCCAGTCATTCTACACAGTGAGTGGCAGGCCAGTTGGGGCAACAGGGAGAGCCTATCTCAAAAAGACAGAAAATAAATAAAATGTCAATGGTAAGTTACCTTAATTTCCATAGTAGGAACAACAACATCTTCTAAATTCTTAAGTTTAGTGATTGGTTGGTTAGCTGGAATACTGATGCCCTCTGTATTTAGAAATAAATAGATTTTAGTGATCGTTGCAAACTGAGGAATCCCTGGAGCAGCAGCAATGACTCTTGCAAGCACATACTTCTCTGAGACCTCCACTGAGAGGCATCCAAGTTTGCCAATATGATGTAAGCATCACAGAGGGTCTCCACGTTCTTCACCATCTTGGATCTCCTAGTTCTGATAGTGTATATTATTTTGTTTGCAGCCTCTATTCGATCCTACCAACAACAACAACAAAAGAACAAAAAACAGAGTAGAAAGAACGGAACGTTTAAGAGTCTGGAGCTCTAAGAACACAGGGAATTTATGCACAGATGCCGACAACTCCTTAGATACAAAGAAAACAATCATTTTAGAGATGTAATAATACAGAAAGCACAGTAAGCCTCAAGTTAGATACTTTTAAAAAATTCTTTTTCCGGGGCTGATGAGATGGCTCAGTGGTTCAGAGCACTGATTTCTCTTGCAGAGGACCCAGGTTCGATTCCCAGCACCCACATGGCAGCTACAAACCGTCCTTAACTCCAGTTTCAGGGGAATCTGAAGCTCTCTTCTGACCTCTGTGGCACTGCACGACATGGATACACTCACATACATGCAGGCAATACACTTGTACACATAAAATAAAAATAATATTAAAATATTTTTTTAAATTCTTTTTCCTTTGCCCATTGTTGGAAAAAAAAATTACAACAGGTATTTATGCTTTCCAGGAACTGTCAGTTAACTTTGGGTGGCAGCGTAAGAAAAAAGGACTCAGAATACTTTCAGCAATGAGGCTCTTAACATGCCCCAGCTGAGGACCACAACACAGATACCCAGACTTCATCACATACCTCGTCAAGCGCAGAGCTTTCCTTAGGTGCACTTTTTATCATTCTACTCCTTCTTGCTGCCTCTGGTTTGCTCAAAAGCTCATCTTTGTTTGCATTGGCTAAGGCCAGTATAATAAACAAAGTATGATGAGGATGATCCATTGAAATCCTAGAGATCAGCTGTCAGAAAGTTTAAAACTTTGTTTCATACAAACGGAAACATTTAAAAAAAATCAACATTTTTCATTTTGCTTCACATCAAAATTCAAGTTACATTAGGCAGTGAGCAAAGTATGTATATATCTTAGAGTGAGAGAAAGCTAGAGAGGCCCCTTTGGAGAAAAGAAGACAAAACTTTATATCTTGATTTCCCATTTTCTTCTCTATAGTATTCAGCAGTATTCTTAAAAGGCAACTATTACATTTTGACATCAGGACTACTTACATTATTGAGGACTTCATGAAATCCCAGGCCTCCCATCATTTTGGTCCCCATCCTAGCAGCCAATTGATACATAAGAGGCAAAAATTTATAAGATGAAATCTTCATTCCATTTCTCTGCCATTAAAAAATGCAAGATTAAGAAATGAATATTATGTCTTCACATTTAAGCAAATAAATTATCCTAAAATAACGTTCATATACTAGTGCACTCTGGTGGTTCTTAGTAAAATACTAACTACAGATCTCCCCTTGTATCTTAGCCTATCTGAAAGTCTTCTAATGGGAATCCTAGACTGACTCAGTGATACGTAAAGTCCTAAATAAAACTGTATCTGGAGCCAGAATGCTCACTGTGGCTACATCCCAATGACTCGGAGGACAGATGTAGCTCTGAGTCCTACTGTGGTTTGGCTCTTGAGAAGTCAGTGAATAGTAAAAGGAAAACGTTTTTCCTACATGCCAAAGTGGTGAGAGTAGGCACTAAAGAGTAGACTGGTTTGTTGTACTGTGAATCTTACCATTCCTTTCATTCAGGAGAAATTGTTTACCTGTAACCTTCAAACTAACTGACAATATGTATTTTAGGACCATGCCATTAGCATTAGATGTCATTGCTAAACTTAAGGTTTTCCAATAAAAACTTAAAAGTACTCCTGTGGTTTATTAAAATATTCTGGGGATGGACCCACACTCAAGAGCATTTGGGGAACACAAATTAGACTCAGTAGGCCTTTAAAACATTGAGGACATTAAGTGAGGTAGGAAGGGAGATGGGGTGGCTCTGAGAGAAGATGGGGGAGAGGTTTGAATATGATCAAAATACATTGCATGAAATTCTCAAAAGAATCAATAAAAACATTAAACAAAAAATTTCCTTTTTCATTTATAAAATTAATCCACTGAACCCCATCCCTGGCATAAACAAAGGGAAAATCCTACTTAGGATCACCGTTCTTTAATTGCTTGTCCTATTACCCAGTCTCTGTTCTATTCTAGGCACTACCCTACGATACCTGCAGAGATAAGAGAAAACACCATCATAAATTCTTCTCCACACAAACCTGCATCATTTACAACTCATCAAGAGCCCATTATAGAGCACCAAACCCACTGCGCAGCACACAAAGTGGTATAACAAATCAGATGAAGGGCTCAGACCTCACTTTTTTAATGCAGAACCACCAATGCTGAGTTGAGTTAGTCTTACCTTCATCATGCCATTGACTTCAGAAACTCCAGAATTTTCAAGCCAGAGGGAACAAAGTCGAAATACCCACATATCATGTTCTTCTCCACTTAATAAGCAGTTGATGTAGTTTTCAACTGCTTTACATAAGAAGCGCTTACGATCCTCTTTCAGTGCTCGGAGTGCGCATTCATCGAGTTCCAGTTCTCGCTGAACCTTTACTGTGTATCTTGCATTTGATAATGTGAAATATAAAAAGTTATGAGTTTACAGAACTACAAACTCATACACCATATACAACAACATAAATGAAAAGTGAAATGTTTGCCAAAGAGGTAAAAAGCAAAATTCTAAGGATTACAAAAGGAACAAAATATGAGGCTGGAGAGATAGCTCAGCGATAAGAACATCAACTGTTCTTTCAGAAGACCTGGGTTCAAATCCCAGCACCCACATGGCAGCTAACAACTGTCCTAACTCCAGTTCCAGGGGCTCTGACAGCATCTTCTGTCCTTTGCGGACTTTGCACGACATGGGTGCACTTACCTACATGTAGGCACTACACTCGTACACATAAAATAATAAAGTATTAGAGAAAAAAAAAAAAAGGAACAAAGCTGTGCAATTCCTAAGTCTCCTACACAAGGTCAAAGTGGACTCTAATCAAGCTATTTGGTTAAGTCTCAATTTATACCAAATATACAGACCCAATGCAAACTTAAAGGAACTTAACAACAATGAAACAGGTAAGCCCTCTGTATTTAATTTCAATATCTCTTTCAATTGTGAAACTGAATAAAACCCCACAGTAACTAACTCAACATACTCTACACACAGAGCTAAACCCAGGACATTAGTTCTTCATAAAAGGCCATCTCTCAGCGTATTGTGTATTGATTTAAGTTGTGATTAGTAAGTATAGGATAGAAAAAATCTGCAAGTACTCAAGTCTGTTAAAGTGTTCAAAAATGTAATTCAAATAAAAAGCTCAAGTGACACTTTTTATATAAACACTCTGTTAACTGGACATAAAATTGTCACTTATAGATATCGTTACCTGTTAGTCTGAATTTTATGTTCTCTTAGAAGACCTACTTCCTCTTTAGCCCTTTTTAAGAGAGCTTGCTTGTTTTCAAATTCTGAAGATTTCATGTAGTTCTCAATTCTCTGGTACTGAGTATCAGAGAATCGTGCTAATGAGAGAAATGCCTTCATCTGTCCATTTCTGAGCTCATCACTTTCACCATCATAACTTCCAGCAACTTCCACTGCCTTCAAGAACACACAATCCATTAAATATGCATTTACAGATGCTAAATACAAAGATCACTCAGATCAAGGTAATCCCACACTAAATATATATATATATTTTAAAGCTAAATTACATGAGGATATTTTATTCACTGTTGAAACAAATTTCACAGAATGGAACCATTAACATTTGTAACAAATGTAACAAACTACAAAAATACAGAGCTCTTTAAAACTTAAAGGCAATCACATCTTACTTAGTGAAACAACTATTTCCCAAATTAGTTATGCTAAAGGACAAAGAGGGAGAACAGTAAGGTCAAAGTGGGTTAGAGTAGGGAAGTCCTAACCCCTACTGTGGGTAGGTGGACTACATATAAACAGCAAAGATGACCTGAATGCTGTTTAATGAGCTATTTTGTAGAATAAATGCAGAAATTATCAGAAATAACTTATATGGAAGAGGAGCTATGGGCAGGCCTAGGGAGCAGGGAGAAACATATCTGCATTCAAAGCTGTTCCTTCCTTTACAGCATTCTGCTCCATTTTGCCCTGACAACTACACACAGCTCCAAAGGCAGGTGGGCAACATTTGAAACCATAGTTTTCTTTGCTTTTAAGATACATTTGGTCTTCATGAAAACATCAAATATATCGATGCTAAACAATCTTTTATTTATTTTTATGTGTATGAGTGTTTTGCCTACATGTATGTAAGTGTACCCATGTCATGCAATGCACATGGAGGCCAGAAGCAGGCAAGGGATCCTTTGGAACTGGAGTTACAGATAGTTGTCAGCCGCCATGTGGGTGCTGGGAACGAAACTCAGGTCCTATGCAAGAGCAGCCAGTGTCTTAACCACTGAGCCATCTCTCTAGTCCCCTAAACAACAATCTTAAGAGTTGCTCCAAAAACTTACCTTTTCTAGATAGGTCTGCATGATGACTGCAGGATTTTCTAAGCAAGTTTCTGCCAACCAGTTGCCACAAACCCTCAGACATTCTGCATATATATGTTTTAGACTGGCATCATTCTGCATTAAAAAGCAAATCTTAAAAGGTAATTCCTTTTCATGGTTCTACAAAAAATGTCCTCCATGAAGAGAAAAGAGCAGATAATAATTTCATCATCGTTTTTTTTAGAACCATATTACTATTTTAATAATTCTAAGTATGAAAGTTCCTGAAATAACCATCCTGGACTAATTATTATTATTGTTATTATTGGAAGGATTCATATTTATTGAATACTTATATATACCAGGCACCTTCTAACAGTTTTATGTATATTAACTCTTAATAATTTTTACAAGAATCCTATGCACCATGTTGCTATACCCAATTTGCCAATGCAGAAACTGATCTGCAAATATAGCTCAAGTCATACTGGCAATGCAGTGCCTCTACACTGCGCACTGCCAGGAATACAACTGTAATAGCCACCCACGTTTATAATGCTAACAGGTGATGTTCAATAACCTATTAGATGTGATATATTCAAAGCACTTTGATAAGCTTTAAATTTTTCTCTCATATATTCCATTTTTGTTCTTATCATTTCAAATTTAAAGTAGGTATTTCACATTTATTTTCCACATACCATTTTTGACTTCCATAGAAAGTTTAAGGACTTAACACTGGCATAAATTAAATGAATGTAGTATAAGACTGATAACTTGTTTTAAATAGGAAAAAGTTTCCAAATTTCTTTTCATTTTTTACATTAATTTTCAAAATTCCTTTTCATAGTATCTTGTTCATGGAGTAATCATTTCAAAACCTTACTGTAATTGTTATAAATATATTCTGAAGCATAGCATTTAAGTAATAGTAAAACACTAATTCAGCCACCTAAAACAAGCACATACCTCTATACAGCTGGAGTCCAACTTCTTGATCATTTGCTTGAGAATACTTAGGGCAAGACTGTGCTCCTTTTTTGCCCAGAATACTTGTGCTTCCTCCAAATGCCACTCAGAGACTCCACAAACAGCTGAATTATATTGCTTGATTTGAAAAATTGCCCTCTCAGGGAGCTGATATGAAATTAACAAACGGACAAAAATACTACTATATTACCACTAAAATTAAAAACAAAAGCAACTACCATTCACTGAGAACGTCACTATTTATCAGGGACTATTGGAATCACTTCCCTGCTTACCTACCAACCTGCAAACTATAAAGTTCACCCCACCCTTGTGTGTGTGTGTGTGTGTGTGTGTGTCTGTGTGTCTGTGTGTCTGTGTGTCTGTGTGTGAAATCACTGAATTGTTATCATTATATTGTAGTAGGTTGGGTATCTTCTCATTTTATAACCAGGAAATTGAGGTTGAGAAAAGACAATTACCTGTCCCAAGGTTTAAACTCTGGTTTGTCCAATTCCAACATAGAAAATTTTTTAATCCCTTGATACTGGAGACTGATTCCAGGCCTTGCACATGCTAGTTAAGCAACATGCTGTCACTGTGCTATATATGCCCAACAGTTTTTATGCTTTTGAAGACAGATTCTCATTAGGTTGTCCAAGGTGAGATGACATAATTTTACACCCTCTTTACCTCAGTGTTCTTGAAAGTTCGGGCCAGAATAGAGAATTCCACCAGGTGTTTGGTGAGAATGTCCTTAAAGCATTCTCTTTGGGAGTACTCCATTTCCTTTTGCACCAGGATCTCCAAAATGACTGTGCGTAGAGCCATGATGGGCTCCTGAAAACTGAAGTCACTGTCCTTCAGAAGCTGGGAGTGTTTCTGCCACTTTGAGTATACTTCAGAGAGTTGTCTGTCTGTTACAGACCTGAAATCAAATCATATGACTTATATGAGCAAAAGAAATGGGGAGGGGGGAAGTAACTAGGTTCTGAAATTGAAGATACTGTGTATTGTACAAAGGAACTTCTGTAGTAATAGACTAGAATTTATAAATAATTCTAAATATGAACTGAGGTTTAGACAGTAGAAAATAGTATCCAGCCAGAACCCTAAGAGTCAACAGAGAGGCAACAAATGATGAGGACTTTAGAAGAGTTCCCTTAAAAGGCAGCCCTTCTGGTGGCTATTGTTCTGCTGCTCTGAAATGAAAATGCAGTAGTCAGCCCTATCATAAAACATGGCTACACCTATAGCCCTCTTATCAGGAAGGGAGGGTGTATCTACAAGGAAATGAACCAGATTCATTAATTATCTACAAAGATGATGATTGTCAAAAAAAAAAAAAAAAAGTCACAAATCAGTGAAGAAACAGCTAGCATTTCAAAGATTTGATCTGGCAACATTAGAATATGTTGCCTCTCAGATGCATAGACCAAGCAATATTGTCTTATCCTTCAAGACTATTGTGTTGAGAGAAATAAAAAAGATGCAGGAAGACTAAAGACTGATGAGGCAGGGGCTGGAGAGATGGCTCAGTGGTTAAGATCACTGGTTGTTCTTGCAAAAGACCCGAGTTCAAATCCCAGCACCCACATGGCAGTTAACAGTTATCCATAACTCCAGTTCCAGGGGATCCAAAGCCCTCTCCTGTCCTCCGTGGGTACTGCATGACATGAGTGTATTTGCACACATGTAGGCATAACACTCATACATATAAAATTAAAAAAAAAAACAAAAAACAAAAAACAAAAAACGATGAGGCAAAGACTAAGAAATAAAAACTCTTTAAACTGCTTGATAGGGAAGAAAACAACAATGCAAATTCATAGAAGCCAAAACTTTAGTTCCTTCTAAATGACCCTAGAGTAACATCTCAAATATTTTAGTCATAGGAACCTCTATTCCGTCTTACAAATTACTGGATTCTGAAGAGCTTTCAATTCTTAGGTTATATCTATTGACATTCTATTTCTCAATAAACCTGAGAAAAATCTAAAATGTATTAATTTGTTTAAAATAATAAATCAGCCAGGCATCGTGGCTGGTACATGCCTTCAATCCCAGTACCAAGGAAGCAGAAGCAGGTAGATTTCTGTGAAATGAGGCCAGCTTGGTCTATATAGTGAGTTCCAGGCCAGCTGTGGCTACAGGGAGGCCCTGTTTCAAAAAAAAAAAAAAAAGACCAAAAAATAAAATTACAATAAATCTCTCCCTTTCCCCTTGATATATGTTACCAGCACAATGTTGACTCATTCAGGACAACAGAGGCAGAACAAGGCAACTACTGCTGAAACCTCTGAAACCATGAGCCCCAAATCAATCTTTTCTCACTCAATAAACAAGACATCATAATGAATCATGCAAATCAAGTTACTACTCGTAACAGAAAAGATGCACTTTATAGTTACAAGTCCATGAACCACATACCTTGAGAAAAGTTCCCCGATGTTTTCCAGCTCTCCAATTGCCTGCAATCTACTAAGTGTTGGGTACAGTGAATATACAGATTCAAGACTGCCTTTACACAACTCTTCAACTTCTTTAACTCTAGTGGTAAAAGAAGAAAAACAGTGAAAACTACAGTTTTCAGGGAGATAAAAGTTCAATTATGTGGTTCAGTAGTTCTTTTTGTGCACTTGGTGTTGACCTAATACTAACACATAGAAAACAACAAACGTGAAACATCACTGGAAACAACACTAGACTCTGAAAAAAGAGACAGATTTAAGGCCCAGTTCTCTCACATTTCTGTCTAACATTGAACAGTTATTGAATTTAGTTAAAGCTATACTTTTTCCACTTCTGTCGTTATGTTAAAGATTAGAGGACATATATGGAAAAGAGTTTGACAAAGTGTCTAGCACAAAATCACCTTAAAGGTAGCAAATATTATTTGCCATAATTATCAGATTTATTATGTCACTAGTGTTTAAAACTTAACATTTGTTTTAACTATTATAGTCAATTCCTTCATCTACCATCTCACTTGCCTCAAATAAGCCTATGAATATTGACCATCAGTCATGGTTTATAAACTACGGCTAGAATGAGAAGAGTGAAGCCGTACAACAACCAGAAGAGATGGAGGAAGAGGATGCAGGAGTATATATCATCAGGACTTTCTCAAGGGCTCAGGATGAAGAAATGATAGAAAGTCCCAAAGAAAAAGTTTCTTGAAAGTCAACAGAAAAAAGACAAGAAACCCCTTGGCCACCAAGCCTTTACCATGTTATCAATGCAAATCCTTACACTGAAATTATTCTTCAAGTCTTGAGAAAAATAACCACGCCATTAAATGCAAAAATGCAATAATTTTATCTTTTTTAAATACCTGGCATATCTGAGACTTTCATAAAATGTGGAGAATTCTCTGTCTCTTAGAGACTGCAGAGCATTGTACAACAATTCGTGGTAACTGGTTCCTTCTAGTTCTTGGCTGTGAGATAAAAAAACAAATTTAAAAACAAAAAATTCACAATACACATGTGAAAATAACTCAAAGGACAAAATTTAATAATTAAGATTTCTTACTTAAAAAAACATATTTCCAGAAATTTTAATAAAAAAATACAAAGAACTTTACATGCCATTTAAATTCTTCAAATAAAAAAAAGCAAATTTCTCAGAAATTTTGCCTGGTTCTAAATTATTTTATTTTCATTTATTTATTCAGAAATATCTACTGGTTAGACCAGGCTCCATATGCAGCAGATCCACTAGTGGACAAATCCAATCAAGGCCCCACTCCTCTGAAGTTTATGTTCTGATTTGGACAATAAATGAGAAAAATAGCAGATTGTGACAAGGAACATGCAGAGAATCAATGTAGGATAAGAAAATAGCAAAAGAGTAGCTACTTTAGAAAGGCCTCTGTGAAGGCATTAAACTAGAAGCTGCCATATACATGGTAATGAGGGAAAACAAGGCCTTGGGCCTTTATGTAAGAACAGTATGTCTGATTTAAAAACAAAACACAAAAGGCAGTCTGTGTGGTTGAAACATCTAGCAGGAGAAGACCAGTGTATGTTGGCTTACAAAGGCACACAACCAGCTTATATGACAGAATGCTTTTAAAAGTATGACAACGAATGGAGCTGGAGAGATCGCTCAGTGGTTAAGAATAGTGACTACTCTTGCAGAGGACCTAGGTTCAGTTCCCAGCACCCACATGGAAGCTAACAACTGTCCTTAACTCCAGTTCCAAGAGATCTGATGCCCTTTTATAGCACTCTTACAATCTGAAAAACATTCCAATTATGAAAGCACTTTTCTATGAAAGAGTTAAACATGGCCAATGTTTTTAGTGTTCATATCAATAATTTTTTTTGTTGCTGTTTTTTTTTTTTTGGTCTTTTTGAGACAGGGTCTCCCTGTAGCCCCAGCTATCCTGGAACTCACTATGTAGACCAGGCTGGCCTTGAACTCACAGAGATGTGCTTGCCTCTGCCTCCCGAGTGCTGGGACTAAAGGCGTGTGACACCACACTCGGCTAAAGATTTGTTTTTTATAACCATTAAATACTATTACACTAGGGGCTTGGTTTTACATTAAAAAATACAGTGATCTGATATATAGGTTACAAATTTTAATCTCTCTGGAAAAATTGATTTAGTACTACTTTTTAAAAACCATTTTATGGGCTGGGTGTGGTAGCACACACCATTAATCCCAGCACTCAGGAGGCAGAGGCAGACAGATCTCAGAGTTTAAGTACATAGCTATTTCCACGCTAGCTGGGGCTACAGGGAAACCCTGTCTCAAAAAGACCAAAAATAAATAAATAAAGAGATGGGCATGATGGCACATGCCTTTGATCCCAGCACTCACTAGGTAGAAAAAGGTGATCTCTGTGAGTTTGAGGCTAGCCTGGTCTACACGATGAGTTCCAGGCCAGCTGGTACTACAGGGAGACTCTGTGCCAAAAAGACCAATAAATAAATAAATATAAAAATTAATTTAAAATATTTATTATTTTTATTTTATGTGTGTAAGTGTACCCATGTCATGCAATGCTCATGGAGGCCAGAAGAGGGCACGAGATCCCCTAGAACTGGGGTTACAGATGGTTGTTAGCCGCCATGTAGGTGCTGGGAATTGAACCCAAGTTCTGTAAGAACAGTCAGTGCTCTTTAACTGCTACATCATCTCTCCAGCCCCCAAGTTCTACTTTTTAATAAAAGAAAATGTTCATAGGGGCTGCAGAGTTGGCTCAGTGGTTAAGAGCACTGACCGCTCTTGCAGAGGACCTGGGTTTGATTCCCAGCACCTACATGGTGGCTACGAACTGTCCTTAACTGCAGTTCCAGGGTAATCCAAAGCCATCTTCTGACCTCCGCAGCAATGCACAACACAGGTGTATTCACATACATGTAAGTGATACACTCATACACATTAAATTAAAAAATAACAAAAAAAAGTTCATAAATAAATAAAAATTATCTTTTGTAACACTTAGCCAATAAATAAGTGCTGTGACTAAAATTTTTGTGGCAAGAAGTGAAAAGTATAATAGCTGTACTTTTCTTTGTATTTCTCAGCTCAACAGTGAAAATATTCTCACAGGAAAATACCTTTTAAAATTTTCTATCTTCAAAAATGTTTGAGGCAAGGGATAGAGCTCTAGTGAAAAAAAGTGAATGAAATGCAGGTGTTGCTATGTTAACCGCTTACTGATATTTAAATATCTAGGCACTTATACTATATATAATAAAAAAAAGCAACACCTTTATACTCATAGGGTAAGATAAAAAGTCTTTCGATTTTTAAAACTGTTTTTGAGTCAGATAAAAATGCAATGAGGGTATGTGATGGTTTGAATGAGAATGTCCCCTGTATACTCCACATATTTGGATACTTGGTTTCCAGTTCCTGTCAGTTTGGGGATGGTCATAGAACTTTTAGGTGTGGTCATGCTGGAGGGCGCACATCACTGCAAGCAGGCTTTGCGAGTATACAGCTTTACCACTTCCAATCTGGCTCTGTCTGCTTCCTGTGCCTGCTTGAAGATGTGAGTGCTCAATTTCTGCTCCAGCTGCCTCCTGCCACGTCTTTTCCACTGTGATGGGTTCTAATCTCTCTGGAACTTGGTAGGCCCAATAAACTCTTCCTTCTGTAAGTTGCCTTGGTCATGGTGTTTTATCACAGCAACAGAAAAGAAACTAATACAGGCTAACAGGTTTTTAAATCAGTTTTTTCTTACTTTGCAGCACTGTAAAGGTCCCACTGCATATTCCTCCATGCTGCTTGGTAATGGAGTTCCTGTAGTTCAGCACACCACTCTCTGTTTTCATGATCTAATCCTTTTAAATACACGGAAAGAATATGGCAGAGTCCCAAATTCTGCAAGGCCTACAAAGGAGTTTTGTTTTTTTTTTAAAAAAAAAAATACACGCTCAAAAATCTCAACACAAAACTAGGGGCAAAACCCAGCAAACATAAAAATTAACTTCAAAATTTTTAATTAACAGTATAACTTAAAATTCTAAAATATTGCTTAGTAGTTTTTTTGAGAACACAATGAATTCAGAGGGCTCTAATGTCTAGGGACGAGAGCCTAAAAAGCACATTAACCAGAAATAGCAATGAAGTTTCTGGGACCGGCTCTAATGCACTATGTCCTTCACCTGGCACATTGCACACACTCATAAAATATCTTCTACTGGTGGCTAGTAAACATCATCATCAACAAACTTACTCTATCATTAATGTCTTTGACCCGTCTATCTTTCCCTAGAGCTTTAGCCCAATGCCTGAAAGAGGTAATTACAGTCTGCTCTCAAGTTTACCTGGCTATGTAAGCATTGTACTGAAGTACCAAGATAGTATCAGCAATTATAACGGAATGTGGCTTTACCAAGGCCAAAACTTAAAAAAAAAATACCTGAATTATTCCTGCCTGGCGGGCCGAGGGGGAGATTGCAGTCTCAAGGTCATATGTTACTAAGGCTTTTCCCCACATTGCTTCATGTTCATATGTTCGTATTCTATAGGAAAAGATTGTAAAATACCTTTTGTTTTCTATATACAAGGGACTCCTTCTTCGAAACACAAAATTGTTATCTAGAAAAGAGCAATTTACCGAGTGAGGGGTTGTAACATTTTTCCTCCACCACAGCCATACAGGCTGTCTGGCTCTCCGATGCTTCTGTAGATCTCTAAGAGAAGAGCCTGGAAATAAGACACAACCAAAGTGAGAGAGAGAAAAAAATCGCCTCTTGAATTTGGGAAACTAAGTTTTACCATTAGCACCTCCTAACTCAAAATCCTAAATATATTGTAGAAGTAAACTATGATATTTTAAAACATACTAGTGATTTGGACCAGCAGCATAATAGACAGGTCCCAGACAGAATTAATGCTTACATTTTCATGAATTAAGCGGGGTGACTGGGACAGGACGACGACATGGACACACAGACGGGGGGAGGGGAACAGGACCACACATGCATACAAACCTACTAGGTTTTTACTACATTCAACAATAATCACAAAACAATTCTGTCAATAGTTAAAACTAAAAACGGGAAAGTGAAATTCTGTAAAGCCTAACTACTGAAACCTGAAATTGGTAAAAATAAAGGTCATTAATTTTCTTGACAATGCATCACAGTTAGGGGGGTTGGAGAGATAGCTCGATGGTTAAAAGCACTTCTTGTTCTTCCAGAGGACCGGGGTTCCATTCCCAGCACCCACATGGCAGCTAACAACTCTAACTCCAATTCCAGGGGACCCAATGTTCTTCTCTGGCCTCCGTGGGCTTTGCACAACATGGGTGCACTTACATACTTACATACATACAGTCAATACACTCACACATAAAAAATAAAAATGATAAAACTATCATTAAATGTATCATAGTTGGTAAAATGTGCTACATATAAAGCAGCCATTTGATTACCTAAATTTTTTGTAAAATTTACATAGTAAAGATTAATGCTGTTTAAAATAACATCAGTAAGTAAAGTGATAAAAAGCTAGAAGCTACATTTCATAGAAAATTAGGCAGGCCACATAATTGCCTTCATAGTGTTTGCTGTAGGAAGTATTTCTTAAATACAAATTCATTGATACTAGCTTATTTCTACATATAATTCTAATTCAAATACTTCTGTTCATAGACATGAAATAAAATTCTCAGTACCAGAGCCTTACACAGTCCTTGGTATAAGGAGATACTCCAAAAGTTCAGCAAAGAAGGATGAGACTATATAGAACCAAAAAGAACGAGCATAGTGGATCACAAAGTAAACCACAAGACGTGACTGAGGAGTTAAGGAGATGGTTCAGTCCATAAAGTATTTACCATGAAGCAAGAGAACCTAAGTCCAGATTCCCAGCACTCATATAAAAAGCCAGGTACAAGCTGGGCGTGGTGGCACACGCTTTTACTCCCAGCGCTTGGGAGGCAGAGGCAGCAGGCAGATCTCTGTGGTCTACATAGCCAGTTCCCTGTAGTCAGCTGGGACTACAGGGAGACCCTGTCTCTAAAAGACCAAACCAAACCAAACCAAACCAAAACAAAACAAAACAAACCAAAACAAAACAAAACAAAACAAAACAAAACAAAAAGAAACAAGCATCTATAATCCCAGCTCTAGGGAAGCAGAGACAGGCAGAGCCCTGGAGCTAACTCACTGGTCAGCCAAACTGGCCAAATCAGTAGGTTCAGTGAGAGAACTTTGTCTCAAAAACGTAAGATGCAGGGGCTGGAGAAATGGCTTAGTCGTTAAGAGCACTGGCTGCTCTTGCAGAGGACTCGGGTTTGATTCCTAGCACCCACATAGAGGCTAACCACCATCCCTAACTCTAGTTCCTTGTGACCTGACCCCATTTTCTGACCGCCACAGGCACTACACAAAACAGGTGCACTTAATGTAGGTAGTACACTCAAACACATAAAATAATTAGTTAAATTTTTCTTAAAAAAATCTAAGATGGAGAGCGATTAAAGAAGACACTTGATGCCAACCTCTGGTCTGCACACACATACATGCAAACACACAAATGACATGGTTGAGTATGAAGTTGAATGATGAAAAAGAATGAACAGCTACTAGTAGACAGCAATTTCAAGTTTATGATAGGCATTACCAAGTGCTATATTCACAGGTGGGTGTAAGGAAAGAAATGGAGAGGGCAAATATAGACAACATCTTCACAAAGTTTGCCTGTGAAAAGGAAGAGGACAGTGACATCTAACAAAGAACACAGGGAAGAAATAACTTTCTTTACACCACTGAGACCAGAAATGCTTTAAACAAGAGAGGTTTGAAATGTGTAGAATACAGTTCAGAAGCAGCACAGCATACTACAAATTAAACTTCCTGAGATAAAACAGATAAATAAAAAGCATAAGGATGTTAACCTGAGAGAAAGGGACAAAGTGTTTTTCGACTTTAATAAGACAGGGGATTACGACAAGAGTACACGCAGGGAGATTTCAAAGACTGATCATGGGATGTGACAGGATTTTCTACCTACATCAACTATTTCCTCCAAGAAGCAGGAATTAAGCTGAAAGCAACTGCAGAGAATGAAGATCAGAGGTTTAACCAAAGTACAGAAGTTCAGATTGTCATTGTAAAGAAATGAGATGACCAAAGAGGTTCAAGAACGCCAGACAGTATTATAGAATTTCTTAAAAGTAGATATTAAGAAACTGGTAGATGAAATTAAGTTTATACACACACATGTACATATGCACACATAAATATACACACAAAATTATTAATTATATTTAAGTCTATAAAGAAAACAGAAGAGTGTACAATGGCAGAAAGTGAGGTTAATTTCATCCCACGAGACAAGTGGTTTTACTTCCATCTTTCATACAAGAGAAGTCAAGGCCAGAAAAGGTAAGTTACTTACCCAGGACTATATAACAAGCGATAAGGTCAAGCCTGGAATTCAAGTGTCTCTACTCAAAGGTCTTAAGTTTATATACACAATGTTCAGTCTACTAAGTAACTTCCATTTTAAAATCAAATTATATCTCTACAAGAAAAGAATAACCCAGGGCTGGAGAGATGGCTCAGCAGTTAAGAGCACTGGCTGTTTTTTGCAGAAGACTGGGGTTCAAATCCAAGCACCCATACGGCTGCTAACAACTACCCCTAACTCTAGTTCCAGGGGATCTGACGCCCTCTTCTTTCCTCCATGGGAACTGCATGACACAGCTGCACTTATAAACACATAAGACTCATACACATAAAATTAAAAAAATAAATAATTAATAAATAAATAAATAACCCAATGTATCACATGAAAATATTCAGTCTCTAATAATTTACCTGTAAACTTATTCCAGTTTCTTCTTTACTTTTCTCACTCAAACTAGAAATAGTTGTACCTTGACTTCCTTCTTCAAATGTAAGACTTCTGTTTATCATAAGAACATTTCTTTCAATAAAAATATACTATTTAGAAGATTATAGATACATTTATTCTCTACTTCTACAAATAAAACCCAAAAATTATGGCTGCAAATAAAACAGTGAACCATGTATAGCTTAACACAGAATATTGAGACCTATCATGGGAAAGAAATTTCAGAATGTTAATTCTGTGCATGAAAATTATGTATTAAAAACAATGCTGTATAAATAGTAGTCATGTGGCAAAATATTTATATGGAGACAGATCAGTTTTAAAATAGAGTAGACACTTCCCAATTTGGTTCCTAAATTTTCTATCAGTGGTTTTATCTGAAGTTTAACTTAATAACTGTATATATACAAATTAAGTCCACAATGAGACACAATTTAACCCCTGATAAATTGACAAAAGAACTCTGATAAAAGCAGATATGTGGTATCGACTTAAACACAAGATTATAAAACTATTAAGTGCCAAGCATGGTGGCACATGCCTTTAATCCCAGCACTTGGGAGGCTGAGGCAGGCGGATCTTTATGAGTCAAGGCCAGCCTGGTCTACATAGCGAGTTCCAGGACAGCTGGGGCTACAAGGAGACCCTGTCTCAAAAAGACAAAAACAACAACAGCAACAAAAACCTAATAAGTAATAAGTCCAGGGCACAGATTGATCCACTTTAAAATCTTACCTTTAAAGCTGTGCATTTATATGTAGAGATATGATAGTTTGGCAAGTAATTACAATCTAAAATAATAACTGCTATTGTGCCTATAGTAATAACCCAATATATGAAAGTTCGTAATGTTACCTGCTAAAGAGAAAACACAAAAAATTAAGTGTTGGCTCTCTCTTCCAGCATCTTCCATCTGTCTAGTCTTTATAATATATAATACATGTCCAGTTTCTTCAGAGCAGAATTACTTCTAAAAATGCATTACTTTCATACAGGCTTTAATATAGTAATTTTCTGACTAAAATGTCTTTTAAATGGAAAAATGAGGCAATAGAAACCTTTACTATACACTTTTATTGTAACCACCAACTTAAAACCAAAATGTCAAGATGGTTACCTTTTCTCTTGATCGTCCAAGCTTTTCTTATCCGCATAGATTTCTGCATAAAGCAATGCTGTGAAGTGTGCAGCACAAGACTGAGCCACCTTTGCTACCTCAAGATAATTCAAATCCAGCCAGAAAGCATTATCAAAAACTGTTCCTGAAGAAGGCCTGAAGAAAAATTAAACATGATGCTATGGCATGTGTTTTACCAGGAATAATAAAAGAAAAGCACACCGATATAGAATGCAATGAGAGTATTTGCTAAATAGAAAATAACATTCAAATACTGAAAACCACACTTCCTCAGTGTATATTTTTATTAACAACTAGAGATAGCAAGGCTAAAGTCTAGTTTTTCAGTCTTCTTGATCATAAACCCCTCAGAGACTCTGAAGGAGTCTATTAATCATCACCCCATACAAACATGGGTTTTGTACCCGCCCTTTACCAAGAAGTTCATGCATCTTGGGCTATGAAGAACAGTTTCTTTCTCTCTCTCTCTCTCTCTCTCTCTCTCTCTCTCTCTCTCATAAACATACACACACACACACACACACACACACACACTCACTCTCTCTCTCTCTCACTTCTGCGGGGACTTATTTTCAAACAGGGTCTAGTAAGTTCCAGGCCAGCTGTGGCTACAGGGAGACCCTGCCTCCCTAGTGCTGAGATTAAAGGTGTGTCAGTCACTACAATGGCCACACACTTTTTATAAGCAATGTAACTACTGTTTCTTCTCAAGACAAAAAACATACTGTGGTGGTTAACCTTGATTGTCAAGGTTTAGATGGGATTTAGAAACAAACCTCTGGGCCTGGTTCTGAAGCATTTCTAGATTAACTGATATGAGAAGCCCAACCCTGAATTTAGGTAACCCCATTCCACAGATAGGGGTCCTGGACTGGATCAAAAGGTAAAAGCCAGGTGAGCACCAGTATTCCTGGCTCTCTCCTTATTGAACATGGACAAAAAATGGCCAGCTGCCTCCTGCTTCTGACACCACACCTCTCCGACATGATGAGCTGCATCCCCCAAATCCCCCTTCCTTCAGTAAGTTGCTTTGGGCAGGTATATTGTCATGGCAACAGGCAAAGTAATTAATACAATATGTCTTTTCTATTATTTGCTCCTTAGTTTATTACCTAGGTTGAATTACTTAATAAAAAATTTCCACTATAATGACAGATCAGAACTGCAACAGTTATAGATATATCTTTTTCAAAACTAACACTGTAGAGCTAAGACAACACAGTGGTTAAGATCACTGGTTTTGGAGTAGTATATGGCCAAGTACAAAGCTAGCTGTTCTACCTACTATCAGCTGCATGGTCTGTAGCAATTCAATTCCCTCAGTCAGTTCCTATTCTCATTTGTAAACACTAGAACAACACATATGCTGGAGGGAAATCACACTGATTAAATAACATGATGGCTAACAACTGTCCATAATGCCAATCCCAGGGGATTCGATGGCCTGTTCTGATTTCCATAGGCATTGCATAACATGCAGGCAATACACTCATACACATAAAAAAAATAAATAATAAATAAAATATATTTTTTTAAAAAGACAACAAATCAATACAGCTTCTTCTGAATGCTGTCACCTTCACATTATCATAAAGGTAAAAAATCCTAAGGGGAACCATTTTAAGTCAAGACTATTCTAACAGACCGACTGCATATTTCTTCTGAGTTCTGATTAACTCTTTAGAAGTACAGATCAGCAACACTATCCAATTTGGCAACTCCTACACTCTTAAAAATATCATGACGGTCCAGTGTGATGTCACAAATCTATTAATCCCAGCACTCGGGAGGTGGATTCAGGAGGATCAGGAGCTTGAGGCCATGCTGAGCAACAAATCAAGAAAATAAACTTTGTCATATATTACAAAATTACTACAGGTTAAATGATGAATACAACACATCCTTATCTTACAACAAAGAGGCACAAAAGAGACATTTATTCAACTCTAGTTACTCCTAAGAACTAAAAGTAAAGCAAATGGTTAAAAGTAACCCTGGTAATGACTCGCTTCTTTCCACATCTTTGTTGGTGAAATAAACCAGAGCCTGCATGATTTAACAACAGCAGGACTCTCACTGGTACATAAAACTAAGAGATCCTGACACTGATGTAACCAAGGTGCCATACAGCATATGGAGGATTATTAGGAAATATAAGCATTGCATCAATAAATATAGCACTCTCAAGCAGCTGCACATATAATAATCAGGTTAAAATTCAGCCTGCAGGAACAAGTTCTACCTCTAAATCCCCAAACCTGAGGCTGTTATGAGATTACCTCTTCTGTCTCCTCATATAGTCTACAACAGCAAGCATTGTTCGTTGTGATTTTTTACCCAAACAGCATCGGAAAAGGTGCTCTGACTCTAAAGAAGAAACAAAAATTAGTCTTAGACAGTGTTATAATTAGTCTTATAGTGTTGTACAGTCTTAGACAGTGTTGTAATTAGTCTTAGACAGTGTTGTAGAGGTATTTTCCTGTGTTTGTGTTTTTCTCCTTCTACAGTATAAGGTTCTGATGCATACTACCTAAAACAAAATAGGTTCTTTTTTTTGGTCTTGTTGAGCCAGGGTCTCCCTGTAGCCCCAGCTGGCCTGGAACTATGTAGACTAGGCCAGCCTTGAACTCACAGAGATCCACCTGCCTCTGCCTCCCAAGTGCTGGGATTAAAGGCGTGTGCCACCACGCCCAGCTTTATCTCCATTTTTTAATTGTGGAAACAGAAATTTAGAGTTACAGAAAGTAAGCCATTAAAATGATTCTGATGGTATGCAAACTTAAGTATCCTCTAGAACTGAGAAGCTACAAGCATAAACATTAACAATTAAACAGAATACCCGAGTCTGAATTTGCAGGAGTTGCTGATCGGCTTGCTTGTGACAAGTGTCTAAGACAGCTGGTAAAAAATCCTTGAATGTGTGTAGACAGCAGGTTTCTCCATGACTCATTTGTATCTTGGAGTAAAATATCATGAATCAAGTATGGCAGCACAGTCTGACAAAAGTCAGTTTTCACCTAGAACACAGTACATCCACTCAACTGTTTGAATAAAAGTAACACATTTTACTTAAAATGTTTATTGCCTATTGCTGACATACTAAAATATGTTTAAATACTAATCTTCCATGAACCCAATATACTGCTAAAACAAACAAAAAACCATGCATCAGGACATTTTTAAAAACAAACAAAAACCCAGTAATCCCAAAGTAGGCACATGTCTGTGATCCCAGCACTTGGGAGGTAGCAGCAGGAGGATCAGAGGTTCAAAGTCATCCTTGACTACAGTGAGTTCTAGGTGAGCCTAGCTGCAAACAAAAATGAACCACTGATCCAACGAAACAGAAAAAAACCCTCACAAAAACTACACTAAGCTAGTATATCATATGTAACACACCTAATGATTATATTGCAATTGTCCATTTCTTATCTACAGGATACTGTTTATAAATGAAAGTATGTCACCACTTAAAACTATAATGTCGGAGTTGGGAAGTGCTATTAATGACAACATTTAAAAAAATTATTTTATATAAGGGGAAAAGGTATCAAAGGCTGAAAAGAAAAACTGAAAATCTGAATTTTTGTCCATTTTCTATACTCACTGAAGAGCTAAAATACGTTAAAAGTAAAATATGTTTCTTTTGAGGGCTAGAGAGATGGCTCAGTGGTTAAGAGCACTTGCTACTATTACAGAGGACCTGGGTTTGGTTCCCAGCACCCACATGGAAGCTCACAACTGTCTATAATTCCAGTTTCAGGGAAATCCAACTCCCTCTTCTGACCTCTGTGGACATTGTACGCATAGGAGTGCACATACATACATGAAGGCAAAACACTCAAACACAGAAAATAAAAATAAACCATTTTTAAAATTTAAAAACATTTTCTATTTAATAAACCCTGATTTCTAGGTATAAAATTTTGGCAATTACTTTTAGTGTACTTCTAAGTACAGAAAGTGCTTTAACAAGTGCGGCTAATTAAATACCACTCTACCTTATTTTTCCATTCACCATCTTCCACATTCACCTCACCACAAACACAAATGTATTATAGATTACTAACTGCTCTTTTACCTTCTTTTCCTTTCTTTCTGTTTTTGAGAAAATCTTGCTGTACAATCCAGGTTGGCACTGAATTCATTACATAGCTCAGGCTGGTCTAGATTTTACAGTCTATACCTTCAGACCCCAACTGCTGGGATTACAAGTGTGACCTCATTCCTGGTGAACACATTTTCCTTTTTAAAGATTTAAATTTCATTTTTTTTATGTATATGTATGTGTCTATGTGTGTGCACATCTGTGCCGGTACCTATGGACACCAGAAGGGGGCGCTGGATCTCACAGCACTGGAGTTACAGGTGGTTGTGAAATCCCATGTGGGTTTTGGGAACAGAACTCCCATCCTTTGCAAGACCAACAAGGGCTCTTAACTGCTGAGCCATCATGTCAGTCTCCACATTTTTGTTTTTAAAGACAAGTGAAAAAGCCAGTGGAACTAGAGAATTTAAGGTTCTAAGACTTGGGGGATGGAAATACACATAACAAATGCACATTCACACATGTGGAAATACACATAAACAAATGCATATTCACACACATACACATTCACAACATGTGCAGCATTTTGTCTTCTGGCTCAAAGTCAACATGGGTAGATTTATAAAACTGTCTTTATCAATTAGTTATAATGACACATAACTGACCTAGTCAAATACTGTTTACTCACATTTCTATGGGCTTTTTTTTTTTTTTTTTGGATGCTGGGGATTCATCCTAGTACCCAATGCATGCTAAATACATGTTCTCCCAGTGAGCTATATCCTCAGACTCAGAAGTCTACAAACTTCTTATTTGAATTGGTACATACTTTATTGTTCATTGAAATTAACTACTGGACCTGCCAAAGTAAAACACTAATAATATTACCCTACCCTGTTCTCACTCAGAAGCATATCAGAGAAAGTCAACTGATAATGATTTTATCATAAATGAAGTGGGAGGAGCTGACTTTTGATTAATGTAAGTAATTTACAACCATCATTATTCTATCATTACAAAAAAAGAGAAAAGATTATGGGGCTGGAGAGATGGCTCAGTGATTAAGAACACTGGTTGTTCTTGCAGAAGACCCGGGTTTGAATCCCAGCACCCACATGACAGCTAACAACCGTCTGTAACTCCAGTCCCAGGGGATTCGACAGCCTTCTGACCTCCATGGGCATTGCATGACACGGGTACACTTATCTACACGCAGTCATTACACGCATACACACAAAATAAAAATAATAAATATTAAAAAAAAAAGATTATTCAAGGCACTCCACAGAACTCATCAGGTATGGTATGTTGGCATCCCAAACCTAAACTCTACCTCAAAAAGTTCTGGCTGAATGAATATGAACAGCAGCTGAGTGTGGGTTACACTGCATGAAGAGGATATGGATAACTCATCACTTAGTACTCTTCTCAAACGTACATTTCACAATCAGATACACAGAGCCAAATGGGATGGGAAAGCAAAGAAAAAAATTACAAAAACAGGAACTAAGATTAATTCATTGTCTCACTTCACACATTGGCTTTAATAATTGAAGAATTTCACTTTTTATGCCTCCACTGTCCAAAAATGCACAGGTCAGTGTCTTTATCCAAATGTCATGATTTTCACTTTGAGGAATCCACAGACTGACATCATCCAGGCATTCTAGAGGGTTTTCTTTAACAAACTCAGGTAGTTCTAAAAACTGCAATCAGAAAACATAAATACGAGAATCATAAAATCATTTCCTGTGTAAAATGAATATCCAGGCACAACTAAATGTATTTTCAAATAAAACCAACTACACTTAAACTAAAGCTGCGGCCTGAGATGGCCCAGCAGATAAAAATCACTTGCCTCCAAGGCTTGACAAGATGATCTGAGTTTGATCCGTAGAACTGACTTGAGAGAAGAGAATGGACTCCTTCAAGTTGTCCTAACATCACATGTGTGCCATGGCACAGACACACAGACACACCCACACACACACACAGGCAAACACACACTGAATAAATAAATGTGATTTTTAAAAAACTAAATCTGAAATAACATTTACCTATTAGAATTAAAGCAGATAAGGCTGGGAAAGGTGGAACAGGCCTGTAAAACCTATTCAGGAGCTGAGGCAAGAGGATTCAAAGTTCCAAGCTTGACCCAACATCGAAATACTGTCTCCAAAAAAAAAAAAGAAAAACTGAGCAAGAGATGGAGGTCAGTGGTAGAGCACTTGCCTAATATACACAAGGCCCTAGATTTAATCCCCACTACCAAAACTAAGTGAATAAAGTAAAAAGTCGGGGAGGGGGAGAGGGTGGAAATAATAAAAAAGTGGAATGATAAAAACATTTCTGGTGTACGAAGAAACTCTTAGCTTTGCCACTTACTAACAGCATACTATATGTCACACTCTCTGCCTCTTGTTTCATATACAAAAATTCATTCAAATCTTCCACACATAACAATTTCAAAATAATATGCAATTCTTCAAACATGTTAAAAATACATCACTTTACATCAGGCTATTAGTAATTTCAATGATAGCTTGTATTACTAGCAATTTTACTAAAATCAAAAACTATACATTAAATTTACTCCTTCAATGATGGATAAAAGCACTGACATTAAGCTGGGAGAAACAACTACATATTTTCCATCATTTTATGAAAAGAGGAATGCTTAGACTAAGATGCAAATGTTCTTAAGTATACTTCACAGAGTGCTGGCTCTTCCAGAGGACCCTGGTTCAATACCCAGCACTCACACAGTGCTAACAGCCATCCATAACTCCAGTTCTGGGGGATTCAACACCTTCCTCTGGCCTCTGTGGGCTCTGCATGACACAGGTGCACTTACATGCATTCAAGCAAAACACTCATTTACATGAGATTAAAAAAAAAAAAAAAAAGGAATTCCCTTAGGGATGCTGGAAAGATGGCTCAGTAGTTAAGGCAGTAATTGTTGCTGTTACAGAGAGCCAGGGTTCAATTCCCAGCACCCATATGGCCGCTAATAAACATCTATAACTCCAGTTCCAGGGGATCCAACACCCTCTTCTGGCTTCCACGGGCACTGCACATGTGGTACACTTATATACATGCAAGCAAAATATTCATACACATTAAATAAAAATAAATTAAAATTTAAAAAAAGATTTCCACCTCTAAGCCCCAAATCAGTACTTCCAGGTTATCTATCTCAACTTTTCCATGCTGCTAGAATGAGAAATAACCAATTCCTTGGATTCAGGAATTACACTTTAAATATTTATAGGAAAGGTTATGCTAATATATTATTTAAAATAATTTGACATTTATAACCCCCCCAAAATATAACCAGTCTACAATTAGCAGGCATTTGATAAACATTTATTACTAAGAGACCTTTTTCCTTGATGTTCTAAAAGGCTGTAGATAGGTCAGCACAGGATCTGTTGTCTTCTTATAAATCTCCCAGAAACTATGTCCAGTCTTTGTAGCCAAAATGTTTTTCAAACACATAGCAGCAGCTGATCGAACTCTGACACTAAAAAGCATATGTAATAAATTTATTAAACTTGAACAATATGCAAATGCCAAAAAAACATTTTAAAAGCTAAAGTTTAAAATACTAAGAAATTTTTATGTCCATAAAATTCTGCAGTATCAAAGTAAAAAAAAATTTAAATAATTTTTAATATTCCCTCAGTAAACTTGCTAGCAGTCAATTCAAGAACCATTCTCTTCATTCTATTTAATAATGTCTGTTAGGATGATCATAAAGTTAAATAATTCTTTCTTAAAAGAAATATTTTATTGATTATTATTTTTATTTTATATGTACGAGTATATGGCCTGCATGTGTGTAAGTGCGCTGATGTCATGCAATGTCCGAGAAAGTCCAAAGAGGGTGTCGGATCCTCTGGAAATAGTTATGGATGGTTGTTAGCCACACTATAGATGACGGGAATTGAACCTGGGTCCACTGCAAGAACAGCCAGTGATATTCATCGAGAGTCATCTCTCTAGCCCCATGTTAAAGAATTCTTGAGAAGAAATAGTTGGAATTAACATAGTCTAAAAATATGATTAATGAGGATGACAAAATATTTTACTTTCTAGCCTTCTAAATAAGAACAAGTAAGAATGACAGAATGCTAATTCACCAGAGGGAACATATTTTAAAAACATTTTCTCTAATGATATTTTACCCCAAACCATAGTTACTGTAAAAAATAATGCTCAGGCCAGGTATGCTGACACACGCCTTTAATCACAGCACTTGGGAGGCAGAGGCAAGCAGATCTCTGTGAGATTAAGGCCAGCCTGTTCTACATAGCAAGTTCAAGGCCAGCTGTGGCAACATGGAGACCCTATCTCAAAAAGACAGAAAAAATAAAAAAGTTTAAAAGCACATATTTATTCTGAGAGGGGAAAAAAAGCTAGCTGAGAATCATTAGCACATAAAACCTTTAATTAAAAAGAAAATTTTTCTTCTCATTTAAAAACAAAACAAAACAGGCGATGGAGAGGGCTCAGAGGGTAAGAGCACTTCCCTCCAAACTCAATGGCCTGAGTTTGAGTCCTGGAACCCACATGGTAAAGAGAGAATGGACTCCTACAAGTTTTCCTCTGACCTCCACAAACACAAAATACATAATAACAAAAAATAACAAGTAAGAAATGGAGGGCTCAAGAGTTCTGGAAATACAACTACTGACAAACATGTCAGGTCTGATAGTGAAGTCATGAGGAATTATCAGAGGAAGGCTTAATTCCTTTCAGAGACTCTTTGGCTTATAACCTTGAAGATAAACTCTGAACCTCGGATTCAACCTTCATTCCTCCACATTGAATGCATCAGCAAATCCACTGGCTCTATTAAAAGCATACTGAGCTCCAAATATGTCTATCTCCTTTATTGATCACCTACTAATCAACAACATCATCTTTTCTACTATGCACTATGCAACAATTTCATAACCATTTCCTGTTTCCACTTTTGCACTTTCCTTTGTCATCCATTTGTCATGTAAAAGCCAGTTATGTAAGATACATTCTGACACCACTCAAATCTGAAACTCCATGGTTTCCTTATGTATGTCAGATAAAATTCTAATTTCTTAATTAGAATTAGCCTTATCTTTTAATTTCAGCCTCCACCATCCTCCTCTATATGGAGCTCTTCCTGTTCCTCAAATATATCAGCTTACTTTACCTTAATCCTATCTGGAATTCTTTACTGCTAATTATCTAGATAAATTCATGATCACTCAGATTACATAACACTTCCTCAAAAAAAAGTCTTTCCTCACCAGCTACTGTGGTTATTCCTTGGCCAACATCTCATCTCCTTTTTAAGTTGAAAACTTTTAAACACCTATGAACAAAAAGTTCCCAGAAAAATCCTACATCATGGATTGAACTTCCTGCAAACCTGACCAACTATCCACTTCTATGGACAGCCACAATCCACTTCAATGACTTGTGGAGAGTGTGCAGATTCAGAACCTATTTACAATTTATCTTTGGCCATGTTTAGCCATAAATAGCCACTTTTTGTCCACCTGTTTCTGACTTAATATCTTGTGACTAACAGAATCTATTAACAAAGAAACAGCTCCCACCAATCAAAAGGCTAAGAATGTCATCAGAGAGTATCTGAGGCCTACAGTAGAATTCCCCCACTTTGCTATGACCTGCCTTCACCTACTAATGTATTTTAAGAGTGTCTTGAATTGTGACTTCCTTGTTACTATGAAAACTTCATGAGGGGCTGGACAGATGGTTCAGAGGTTAAGAGCACTGGCTGCTTTTGCAGAGAACCTGGGTTTGGTTCCCAGCACCCACATGGCAGCTAACAACCATCCATAACTCCAGTTCCAAGGGATCTGACACCCCTTTCTGATCTCTTTGGGCACTGCACAGCACAGGTGCACTTACATACATGCAGGAAATAAGACTCATACACATTAAAAAAAAAAAAATTCAAGAAACTGTTACCGCATTGGAACATGGAATTTGGGGTAACCTGAATCTGTGTTCCCAGGCCACCGACACTCATATTTGGCACCAGAATAAACTATCTCTTACTCCTTTTGAGGTGAGAGTTAAGCTTTTTGTATCAACACACCTAATAATGCTTTTTCCCTTCTACAGTAAGACAGAGAAAAACTTTTACCTGTTCCTATTATTCTAAGTCATACTTACAGTTCTGTCCATCATTAAAAACAAACCAGATTACTGTGTAACAAATGAATCATTTAATGACTATAAGTTTTCTGTGGGGAAAAAAAATCTCTCTTCAAAAACTGTACTATGAACTGGCAAGATGGCCCAGTGGGTAAAGGTACTTGCTACCTAGCCTGAGGACCTGAGTTCAATCTCCAGGATCCACATGGTGAGAAGAAAGAACTTACTCCTACAAACTGTCCTGACCCCCACATGCATGCAATGGCACATGGATGTGTGCATGGCCTATGGCCATTCTGTGAGGTATTTTCTTAACTACTAGTTAACCTGGGAGGGCCCAGTCCACTGGAGGTGGTGCCATCCCTAGCAGGTGGACTTGGGCAAGCCAGGGGAAGCAAGCCAGTAAGCAGCATTCTTTCATGGTCTCTGCTTCAACTCCTATCTCCATGTTCTTGCCTAGAGTTTCTGCCCTGACTTTCTTCAATAACTGACTGTAACTTATAAGCCTAAGAAACCCTTTTCTCCCCAACTTGCTTTAGGTCAGTATTTTATCACAACAATAGAAAGCAAGCTGGAACATCCCCCCCAAATGGCAATGATAGTGTGATGAAATAAACCAACCAACTAATGAATATATATCAGAAGAGCTGGAAATACAATTTAGTAATGCCAAGGATATATGAGGCCCTACACTTAACCCCCAGTACTAAATATAATAATGGTAATAAAAGTCAATAAATGAGAGAAAAAAAGTAATCCCATAAATGGCAAGCAAAAACACTAATTGTGGGGCTGAAGGGATGGCTCGTTGGCTAAGTCCACTTGTTCTTACACAGGACACAGGCTGAAATCCCAGCACCTACATGGCATCTGTAACTCAAGTTCCAGGGGATCTAACACCCTCTTCTGGCCTCCATGGGTACTGTACCACATACGTGCACTAATATACATAAAGGCAAAACACTCATACACATAAAATAAAAGTAAATAAATTTGAGGCTGGAGAGATGGCTCAATGGTGAAAAGCACTGGCTGCTCTTACAGAGTACCCAGGTTTAATTCCCAGCACCCACATGGTAACAAGCAGTTGTCTGTAACTCCAGTTAAAGAGGAATCCAATGCCCTCTTTTGATCTCTGTGGGCATTGCATGACATAGGGTGCACGACCACATATGCAGGCAATACACTCATATACATAAAAAGAATAAAATATTGGGCTGGAGTGATGGCTCAGCGATTAAGAACACTGACTGCTCTTGCAGAGGACCTGGGTTCGATTCCCAGTACCCACATGGCGGCTACAAACCGTCCTTAATTCCAGTTCCAGGGGAATCCGAAGCCCTCTTCTGACCTCCATGGCACTGCATGACACAGGTGCACTCACATACATGCAGGCAATACACTCATACACATAAAATAAAAACAATAAAAATAAAAGAAAATAAAAAAAATATTGAAAATCTTAAAAAATAATACCTTTTTTTAAAAAATTAACTTGCAAATTTGTTTTGAACAGGGAATAAATGAGTAACAGAAAATTCTCTTAGTTTAAGACTTCTGAGATTATAACGCTTTCAAAGCATTACTTTAAAAGAATCAAAACAAAGATTAGCTCCAAGGAAGGTAGCACTTCAGGCTCTGAAAAGTGCTTAAAATACCATTATTTAGATTTGTCTTTTTGAGAGAGGGTCTCTCTGTAGCCCAAGCTGCTTGGAACTTACTATGTACTCCAAGCTGGCCTCAATCTCATGGAGATTCACCTACCTTTGCCTCCCAAGTGGTGGTTTAAAGGCATGCACCACCATGCCTGATTTACTCTTTAGACTCTTGTATTTTAACTTATTACTAATATTATTATGGGTAGGTGAGTGTGGGTGCATGGCACACCATCAGAATGGTGTTCAGAGGACAACTATTTTGAGTAGGCTCACTTCCTCTACCATGGCTTCTAGGAAATCAATCTCAAGTTGTCAGGTTTGGCAGCAAGTGCCTTTTACCTGCTGAGCCATCCCACCAGCCCTGCATTCCTATACTTTAATTGCCTGTGTGGAACCACCCAACAGTTTACTTATTTGCTGTTTTATCTAACATACAATCAGTCGAATTTAAAATAAACCGTCTCTGGAATCTTCATCAACATCAAGTGTCAGAAATAGGGTATTTGACTGTACAAATTAATACAAATACAAGGAATTTCCTAAAAAAAAAAGGCTTTTAAAAAGTGAGTACTTAGACAATCTCATTTACCCTCCCAGCTCGCCCACCCTGTCTCTCCTCCTAGAGTGGGCACTGGCCCATTTCTTCTCTTGGCACCCCAGGTCTCTGGACTACCCTCTTGTCCCAGACTCCCCACTG